ATGCTGCATTTTTCAGTAGGGAAAGACCGAATGTTGTGGCCGTCAAATCTACTATTATCTCCTCCGCAGATGCCGAAGGGCAGGTCACAGACTTGCTAGATGGTCAAAGTGCCCTTCGATCCACTCTATCCTCTAAAGGATTAGATGATAATGAGACCACCATTTATTCAGCAGTAAATCCTAATAACCTTCCGGATATCACGGGATTCGTTGTTTCTGGTGTCAACTTTACGAACAATTATACAGATACTTCCTCGCGAACCAATGCCAGCGGGGTGTACGTAAGCTCTGCAAATGATACAACAATTGGACAGTCTTTCAAAATTAACCTGAAAGCTGGAGAAACTGCTGTTTTCTATAAATATGTTGGAATTGCTTCGACAGACAAATTTAGCGATGCTGAAAGTGTAGCTCGAGAGGCTCAACGATTAGCACAGGAGTCTGGATGGGATACCCTTCTGGCGGAACATATTGCAGCTTGGGCCAAAATCTTGACAGCAGACTCTGTCGACGATTTTACAGATCCAGTCACAGGAGAATTACCAGAAGATCCCAATGTTCAGGCACTCCACATTGCTTCAGTTGCAAATACCTACTATCTTCTCCAAAATTTACAACCTGATGGCAGTGGGTTGAATGATAACAGCATTTCAGTAGGAGGATTATATTCCGATTCATATGCTGGTCTAGTATTTTGGGATGCTGATTATTGGATGGCACCCGGGCTCAATCTAGCATTTCCAGAATGGAGCAAACAAATCAGCAATTTCCGAATCAAGCAGCATAACCAATCTTTAGCGAACGCAGAATTCAATAATTACCCTAACGGAAGCTCGCTTTATTCATGGACTACTGGAAGATATGGAAACTGTACGGGTACAGGTCCTTGTGTTGACTACGAATATCATCTCAACTACGACATCGCATTCAACTTGATGCAGGAATACAACATCACAAATAATAAGACTTGGTTCGATAATGGACCTAGACAGATTATTGAGAGTACTGCCATTATGACAGGGCACTTGCTGATGTATAACGAAAGCACACAATCATATTGGATATACAATATGACTGATCCGGATGAATATGCTAACAACAAGGACAATGGAGCATTCACAATAGCTTCTGCTGCAACTCTTTTGGAATTGGCAAAAGATTTGAGAATTTCTGAGGGATTGGAAGCCAATTCAACTTGGCAACAGCAGCAACAAAATATCGAATTTCCATCTGCAGTCTCTAACATCACGTTGGAATATCAAACGATGAACAATAGTGTTGCCGTCAAACAAGCCGACGTCGTTTTATTGACTTACCCCTTGGATTTCAATCAAAATTACACTGAAGCAGATAAACTATTAGACTTAGATTATGTATGTATCCTTCCCCTTTCACTAATTGTGGTCTTACTTACATAGACCAAAGTATGCCAATAAGCAATCGCCTGACGGGCCGGCTATGACTTATTCTATTTTTGCTATTGATGCAAACGCTTTATCTCAATCTGGATGTTCTGCATACACTTACACTTTGAATGGTTTTCTTCCATATCTCCGAGCTCCTTGGTTTCAATTTTCGGAGCAAGCTGTTGACGATGTCACATTGAATGGTGGAACCAACCCAGCATTTCCATTCTTGACTGGGCACGGAGGAGCCGATCAGGTTGTACCCTTTGGTTATCTAGGTATCCGAACAGATCAACCAACTCTCTTTTTCAATCCTTCACTTCCTCCTCAGATCTCCCACATCAAAGTCCGCACTTTTCACTACGCAGGAGCAACTCTCTCGGCTAGCATGAACACTACCCACACAAACATTACTCGTTTCTCTTCCACTAAACTCAGCGATCTTTATCAAAATACTACACTTCCCTTTGTCGTCGGAACACCGGGTTCTGCCGCCTCAAATACAACATCCTACAGCATTGCGATAAATGAAACACTCACCATCCCCAACCGTCTCTACTTCCAAAAATTGACAAAACCTAACAATCTCCTCCAATGTTTGCCCGTAACTTCCAACGACCCTTATTCAGCCGGACAGTTCCCCGTCGCAGCAATCGACGGCGCATCATCGACTTCCTGGCAACCATCCACGAATGAATCCTCTTCCCTTCTCATAAACAGCACTTCTATCCCTGCATCTCCCATCTGGAGCATCTACTTTAACTGGGGTCTTCGACCTCCACTCCGCGCCTCTGTCTTTTTCGGCAACGAAACTACAGACGAGGGTCAGATATATGGAAATGAATGGTCAATTGATATCGAGGATATTTCTCCAAGTCTCCCATACTCGCCGGGTAATACGACGCAAACTTCGAATACGGAAAGTGTGGTTCCGGTGGTCGGGAATGAAACGAGATTGGTGGTGGAGGGTGGCGCGTGGAGTGGGAAGTATGTCAGGTTGGTGGTGGAGGGGTGTTGGGAAAATGATGGGAAGGGCGCGACGGTCGGTGAGTTTGTTGTTGTTGGGGGTTAGATAGGGGGGTGCGTTTGTGGTTTGGAATGTAATGGGATAGGCTGGATTGAACTGGAATGGACAGTAATGTTACATAAGTGATATGATGTGATTTAATGAATGAGATACAATCTCAATAATCGCGTTCTTACTAAGAACTTGCTGATTTTTGGAGATGTAGGAGAGTGATCTTTGAATTTGGCTTGCAATCCACTGAATGTGTGATCTCAAGAAGGATTGATTACTACGACGAGACGAGAGATGATCGGAAAAAAATTGTATTGTCACAAGATTCACCCAATGATCAATGCAATTGCCGCCTCCAACTCTGCATATAGGGGACACTTACAAAACAATCACTGGAAAACTTACTTCAAAGCTCTCATGAATGGCATTCTTTCAAGAATATTTCTATAAAGACCCGAATAAAAAGACTAAGTAATTCTTATTTTAGGGAAATGAAAACACACAAATACCACTCCACCATGAAATTTCTCTGATACTGCGGGATGGCCAAGGAACGGAAACATTCGCGTGTGGAATATGGCCGTAGGCCTTGAATTAATTAGGACTTTGACGGATATGAATGTCTGCAGAGTTACGAGAAGTAGGACAATGATAACAACATGTCAGATGTATGAAGAATTTGGTAAGATATTGACATGATGAACGCGAGAACATGATGCTACTCTGGGTGCAAAGTGAGCTTAGGTGCATGTCAGTGAGAACTACTTCATAAGCGAGATGGAAGAAGACCCTCAGCACCGAGAACTTTTCACAGTAATATTGATGAGGTGATGAGTTCTCCTCATATTCTGGAAAAAAGAGGTTATAATGCGATCTGTCCTGTCGGCACTCACTGAACTAGAGCTTTGTCACAGTGTTCACTCAGCACGGCTATACATGATTTTCACCATCATTTCATTATCAAAATGGATTTGTATTATTGACGTGTGTCTTGTGAAAAGGAAGGAAGTGCGTCTGATTTCCAGAAAATTATGTGAATCCTCATTTTCTGTCATTTTGTTATACTATATCTTGTGTACTAGTTAAGTAGCTTGTGTCTGGCAAACTCTCATGAAAACTGTAAATCTGCAATCAAAACAGCGTGAAGTCCATTAGGCGACACTTTTTGCAGGTTCACCTTGGGCCACACCAACCTTGGAAGGCATCTCTTCCGAGGTACTGCTAGGACGTTTCTCGCTCTCTTCTGGTTTCCTCCCCCATACTACATATATCTTATTATAAGCGTGAACATTTCGATTCGGGATGGATTTTCGAACATTCACCAGATATACCTGACGGCCATCCCTATTAGACAACTAACAAATCGTGGAAAGGCATTGAGTGGGAGAACTAACCTCAATTTGTTCTTGCTTCCAATTCAAGATGCGAGAAAACAAAGCCATACTAAAGCTTGATAGACATGCAAGCCAGTTCTCTTCGGACATCTCCCCAAGATTATGTAAGTGTTTGTCTTTGGACCAAGGGTTGACTGGCAATTTGAACACCTTTTCTTGCACGTCCACAAATCCAGCTGCTTCGTACCAGCTCTTGAGGTTTTTGGCAATATTCATCGGTCTGCCGGCTTTGATTGCCGCTTTTTCGACAAACTCTATCCATTCTAAGAATGGCCAGGTTTCAGTCATTGATTCGTCGTCACAATATGGAGTGAATAAAATTTCTTGACTCTCCATATATCCACCTGGTTTCGTGTAATGAAACCCTCTTTTTATGATGGTTTCAAAATCCTTGAAGCATCCTAGTAACACGCGAGTATGAATATAATCAAAGTGGTTGGACGGAAGTACCCAATCGTCATCGCTAGCATCATCGATATAGAAATGAACGTTTTCTGGTACAGATACTGGTTGGATTGGAGAGAGATCAGTGGCTTGGACTTCTGCCTCTGGAAAGGTATCGCCCATTTGAATTGCCCATTGACCTGTACCGGTACCAATATCGAGAATGCAACGAGGATCGGACAGAGGAGCGAAGAAGTTGCGACCTGAAAAGGCACATTTTAGCATATCGAATTGTGCTTCAAGTCTGTCTTGTTCATTAACGTCATTTGGGAAGTGGTATGCTAGCAAGCTAGTTAGCTATTGACAAAAAAGCCAAACTGGACATCAGTACTTCCTGGACGATAGCCATGATATGTTCTGCCATTTTCTTCTGGGAAATCTACAACACTGCTTGTCAAAGATTTGGATGATGATCTGGATACGAAGTTAGCATTCTCAGAGTCATTCCAGCAAGGCAGCTCGCACTAACCCATCGTCAGACTCAGGAGTCTCGGATGATTGTGTATCGCGCTCGCGGCTAGGATCTGCGTTCATATTTGCACCTGGATATCCAAATCCTAGCGGTGCCTCGACATCCTCTGCATGTTGTGGTTGAGTCGCTGTTGGGGGAAGGGCGCATTGTGCAGGTTCTTGACACTTAGACATGTTTGTGCGTGGCGAAAAGGCCTGATCGTGAGAGATGCAAAAGAGGCGGACCCAAATCCCCGGGTTTGCGAAGTGTATTTGGTACTTTTAATTCTACGGAGAGAACTTTTGTGGAATTTTCGTATGGCTGCTGAGTGCTTGCTTCTCCTGCAAGTAGGCATGACTACCGCAGCCGATTGCGAGTTCGCATTCCTTCTGCTGGTTTGAATTCTCCATACTCAATTCTCTACAATGATAGGCCAAAGCAAAGCCAACGTAAGATAGCATGGCAATTTGCCCGCTGGTTTTCAAGAATCGTGTTATACATGTTGGTAGTTTTGTAGCCCTATTTCATATATCTTATTCGCGAATCTGAATTCCGCCATAGTGGTCTGACTCAATGCCGGGAGTCAATTCGACCTTCGGAATCCATGTGTTGGGATGCGTTAGCCAGATGCATGGGAGCCCAGCCTACTGGTTGATATTTAGTTTGTAGTTGCATGCAGCTTGGCGTACGGAACTCGTGCCAGCTACGGATAAATGCATTCAGCCTGGACCAACAAATTGTTGGAGCTGCAACATTTAGGTAATGGACCACGACACTAGTATTCAAGGTTATCCGCACCTTGTAGCCTTCTGATTATTTGCAATAGTGCTAAAATGATATGCATGATATCAAATGAGGAAGTGGTTTCCAACAACAACAAGCATTCAATTTCGTTTGATGGTCATGCGAATACCCGCCTGGGTCTAACTGGGCTCCATATCTGGATGAGTAGCCAGTGGAGGAAGATCCATCGCCCGACGACATGGCAATGGGAACCGAGACCTACATGTTTTCTGTCTTGCTAGTCATACATAAAGAGTTGTATAACCACTCGTGTTTGATTCCGACCCAGTCCAGGTCCGGACAAGACTTTAGTTGCGGAAGGAAGTATCCTTTGTGCAAAGTGAGGAAGGTTACCTCCGACTCCTCGGACTCTTTTCATCTACCGATACATACCGATAGCTTTCTCTTGTCAATCATTGTTACTGAGCGGATTTGATCATTGACACAGGAGGATGGCACGCGCCACAGTTTCGTTGCAGGACACATAATGCAACATTTCAAACCCTCAATTGGTTCCAATGTTGTGAATGCCCAGAACCTTTCAATTAATTCGTAAGACACAGTTATATTCGAATTGTAAACCAGTCCAAATTTTGATGTTGTAATAGAAACAAGCTCAAACCATGAATGTTAACGAAGGGCGATGTGCGCCATAGGTTGAGACGTTCCATACCTGTGTGGCGCAACAATGTGGCTGCACGCGGTGTGGCATTAAACTACTCCACCTGAAAGAGGGGCGACTGGGAATTTGATCTAAAATGGAAATCTGCACACTTTGAGGCAGGAGTTTGCGATCAACAATTGACAAAGTCATGAGATATGTTGTTGTTGACAGTGACTATATAAACTCCATGGATTCGCTTCAGTATTTTACTCGTGTAATGTGACACGATTTTCCAACGCGCAATCCCACTAACGCATCTTACTACCTCCCATTATCTTTCATTTAACTATGGCGTTCTCGGTTGAATCATCATACGATAAGCTTCGATTACTCCTTAATGATGCCTCGAATGATGCTTTACCCGCACCCAATGCCACCGCAGTAGCCACTCAGTCCCTCGCCACAATTCTCCCCGCGATTGGACTCGGAGAAGAAGCCACTGCAGCACATCTTCTTTCAGATATAACTCCTGGCTTCAATGGCCCGAAAACTTCATCTAACTATTATGGGTTTGTCACTGGTGGTGTCTTCCCAATCGCAGAAGTCGCTGACAATATTGTCACCGCTTTCGATCAGAATGTGCAAGTGCATTTACCAGATCAAAGCGTCAGCACTGCTGTCGAGGACAAGGCCTTGGGAATGCTTGCAGATCTGTTGAATCTTGGAGACGACTGGAATGGGAGGACTTTTACTACTGGGGCTACCGGTGCAAACACTCTTGGACTGGCATGTGGACGAGAAGCGATAATTTCTCGGCGGCTCGAAAAGAAGGGAGAGAGCAGAGGCGTTGGAGAATTGGGATTACTTATGGCCTGTAACAAAGCTGGAATTACAGATATCCAGGTCTTGACTGCCATGGCTCACAGCTCTATATACAAATCTGCAAGTATTGTTGGGCTTGGACGAGCTTGTGTTAAGGATATTGGGACCAGTTCATCTGAGCCATGGAAAATCGACATGCTTCTGTTAGAACACGAGTTAGCCAAAGAGAAAGATGGAGTGGCTAACATAGTTTCTTTGAGTGCTGGAGAGGTCAATACTGGGAGATTTGCAACTGATGGAAGGCACGAGATGCAAAAAGTCCGTGAACTATGCGATCGCTATGGCGCCTGGCTACATGTCGATGGAGGCACGTTAAAAAACTATGATCGTTTCTTGTATCTACAGCTAACAATCCTCTAGCCTTTGGAATTTTTGCTCAGAGTCTTCCAGATACTTCGGAATTTGCCTCTCTAAGAAGCGTATCCGCTGGTTTCCAGTTAGCAGATTCAATAACAGGAGATGGCCATAAAATGCTTAATGTGGTATGCTATACAAACTCCATTCATTAGGCTGATCCTTTGAAGACTTCCTGGCTAACATTTGTTTAGCCTTATGATTGTGGCTTTTTCTTCACAAGGTCGGTATCAACACTGTCATCCGTATTTCAAAATCCCAATGCAGCATATCTCTCATCTGGACCATCAAGCATTCCATCACCTCTGAATATTGGTCTTGAGAACTCACGTCGTTTCAGAGCCCTGCCAGTCTACGCCGTACTATTGGCGTACGGTCGTGAAGGCTTGAGTCAGATGTTTGCTCGTCAAGTCAGATTAGCAAGGGAAATATCCAAGTTCTTGGATGCACATGTAGGATACGAACTGCTTGCCAAAAGCAAGTTTGAGAATGAAAGTGCGATTGAGAATACTCACATCATCGTTATATTCCGAGCAAAAGACGACAGCACTAACAATGAATTGGTTAAGAGAATCAATGCAACCAGAAAAATGTATGTGTCGGGGACAAAATGGGAAGGGAGACCAGCTTGCAGATTCGCAATTAGCACGTGGAAGGTCGAAGTGGAAAAAGATCTACAGCTGGTTCAAGTTATCCTAGATGATGTCCTCCAGGATCAACATTGATAGCTTCAATGCACCTTCCTTATATTCTCCAACCTTTTTCTGGTTGTTGAAATTTTTTGCAAGATGCTACTTCCACCTAGCACAATTTTCAAACATCATTCGCACATCTGCAATATGGGAATGGAGTCGTTTATTTCACAAGCATCATGGAGTAGGTTATGAGTCTCGTGCTAGATGGAACATCGTACAATAATATCCTAAGCCATTTCAGGCAATGCAGCTATCCCATCTTAATCTACGGATAAGATAAGTAAACTGCTGTTGCATCTATTTCAAAAAATGAAGCCATGGTATTTGGCTACTTTAAAAGAAAGTATTGTATTTACCCAAACAATAGCAATGAACTATTCGTCTGTACTAACTTTGCCGCTGATGTTTGGTTCCTCATCGAATCTCAAATTTCTCAGATAAAAAAAACATTTACACACCTTTCCTCTCATCACCCCCATACTTCTTCAGATATTCATCCTTCAATCCCGCAAAGTTACTTGCCACAAACGGAGCAAACAAATCCCTAAACCAACCTCTGCCATGACTCTTCAATCCCAAGTCTTGTAGAAGACTGTCACAATACCCCATCAACTCGAATGTCATATTATTACCCTCATCGCCGCTGCTTAAATATCTTCTGCTATTCCATGCTGTGAATAGTGCAACTTCCTTTCGCTGTTCTTCGCTCGGCGGGAGAGCTAATTTGCCATCCAGATATGCCGTCGCCCACATAGACTGGCATTGTACGACCGGGAAGTAGTCTCCTACGCTTACTTGACCGATGAATACGATAGAATTCTTATTGACTTCTGAATCTGATTCAAAAATAGGCGCGATGTGTTTGTAAAGACGGTATGGGGTATGAGTGACAGGACGACGGTAATGCGGGGGTGGATTTGCAAGTTGCGGAAATCTTGAGGTGACTTTCTGGTCTGCCTCTGAGGCAAGTTGCTCCCAATTATCTTGATGTTCTTCACACTCGGAAGATGGGAGGTGGGGAAGACCAAGTGATGTTTTTTGATCCTCGGTAAAGAATTGAAGAGATGGTACCCAGCCAGTACCACAAAGTATGGCATCTGCCAGAACTACATCACCGTCTTTCAAATGGATCTTGTGTTCTTCGATACTTGCAATGTCGGCACAATATATTCGAACGTTTTCAGCAATAATATCAAAGAAATCGACTTGGTTAAGTAAGCCACCGGTACAATTCTGCCAAAAGATCCTATTCTTGAATTAGCAGGGCTGCCAACACGAATCCCGGTGCACGACTCTCACGGAGATTGAGGATTTAATTTCTCAAATCCTTGAAGATTTTTCCTTCCTTCGAAATCTGCATCTTTCCTCGTTTCATTATCAACAGCACCCCAAAAAGCATTCATCATTTTGACTCCATACTTCGTTGAATGTAATAACCACGTCCACCATGAATTTCCATTCAGAAAGGAAGGCACGAATGTAGCAGTAATGCGTGTCAGTCCAACTTCGAAAGCATTCTTGTAAGGACCCTTTCCTTTTGGAGAAAGAAGAAATCCAGGACCATTTGTATCAGAAGCCTTGATAATCCATGATACAGTCTTACCTGCTTTGACAGCTGAGTATACCATATCAGCAGATGATTTTCCAGCTCCCAGCACAGTGATCCTCTGGGTATCTGGTGAGGTCAAAACTTTTGACGACCCAAAGTCATTTTGGTGAAGAATAGGGCCTTGAAATAACTCTTTGCCTGGAAGTGAGGGCATGTTGGGTATAGAGTTGAGTCCACTAGCAACAATCAATTTAGTAGTTTGCCAAGTATCCTGAGCTCTAGAAACCATATCCACAGTTTCAACCATCCATTTACCATCCCTCCTCAGGAGCGATTGAACCTCCGTTGCGAGCTTGATTCTATCACGTAGTGTTGTGTCGCCGTAGCAATGTGTATCAACATAATCTTCAAGATACTTGGTGGTATATTTTGCTTTGAAGAATTCATAGTAAACATCTTCTTCAGGTGGTCTAGACATAGATAAGTCTGAAAATTCAGCAGTGCCAACTGTCCATTGTGTCCAGAATGATTCGTATCCTCTTCCTTAAAGATGTGAGCATTGAAATTTCTGTCGGGAGCAAAGTGACACGAGACTTACTAGAATTCCAAACACCTCCAACACATGTATCTCGATCGAGAATCACGAGACGACATTGTGGATGTATATCTAGATAGAATTTGGCGGCGTATATACCAGAGATTCCTGTCATATAGTGGGTCAATACATAAAACTTGTACTGGGAATTTGGGAATGTGCTATTACCTGCCCCAATGATAACAATGTCGAATGTTCGTTCTGAATTCATTTTTCAATTGTTGAAGAAGAAGCAGTGCTGCTTACTCAAATGAATTCTTTAAATGCATGCCAGTGTCATCAAACTGTTGGTAACAGGCATTCGTGCATGCTGACACCCCACCGAGTGCGGTGAAAACCACATATTTCCAGAAATTAGTATAGTTCCTCAAATGCGATTAATCTCACGGATCCACCAGTCCGACTTGATGTGCTGAATCATAATGATGGAAGTTCTCAGTTTAGTTGGTCTTCTAATTTAAGCTGACAGCCCAACCAACGTCTTACAGTTGTTAGTTAGACGATAATAAGTCCGCACCTGAATGTCTCACTATTCTAAAGTATTTGATTACTTGGACTTTCAATAATAATGATTCTTAAGAATATGACTTTGGAAAGAAATCAACCTGAATTAGGAATTGATAATGGTACTATCGGCACTCCTGCCATAGTCTACTTGACCGGCTGGCGATATGCTGCTGTGGGTATTGCGATAGTTTTGAGCATGTTTTTGGCTTCACTAGATCTGGTAAGAATATCCATCTCTGTTTTGTTTAAAGAGAAGCAGTAGACTGGGCGTTAAATGAGAACTTGGGATCAAGCGATGGAGGCTCGGTGGCGGAAGCTAAGCCATGTAGTAGTCCTGTTTGACGCAAGCGTTATTATATGAGACAATAAAGAATCTTCGTAAACTTCGCCACTAGAATCAAGGAAAGAATAAAACTTTGAAATTCTAACAATTAGATTCCAGACTTTCATTGCCACAGCAATTCCACACATCACCGACAAGTTTCATAGCCTCAACGATGTTAGATGGTATGCCTCTGTACTATTTCTGACCGTCGCAGCAGCTCAATAGTTGTGGGGAAAGGCTTTTGAACACTTGCCCATCAAGACTGTTTATTAGATCAGTATAGCCGTCTTTGAGGTTGGAAGTTTGATATGTGGTAGGCTCTGATATGCCCAACAGCATCTCACTCTTATACCTCACTGATAGTTGCAGGTGTTGCTAGAAACAGCACAACATTGACAGTAGGACGAGCTATAACAGATTTTGGTGTTGCAGGAACATTGGGAGGATCACATATCATTATTGAAGTTTCAGCTTCACCAGAGAAACGACCTGCGATGACGGGATTTATGGGCTCAGCATATGCCATTGCGTCAATCATTGGTCCATTGATTGGAGGTGCTCTCACTGATCTTGCATCATAGCGTTAGTGATAAGTTAAAGTATAACGCATGCTTTTCCTCGAATGCGGTTTTGATGGGTAGCAGCATCTTAATTGATCTTCCTTGTGGTGCACTCGCGGCGGCTTCCACAATCTTTCTCTTCAAAATACCAGATGCAGTGAAACCAGTTGAGGTGACCTTGAAGGAAAAACTTCTGCAAATGGATATACCTGGATTTCTTTTCATCACTGCGTCCGTTGTCTGTTACCTTCTAGCTCTTCAGTGGGGAGGTGCTATCAAACGATCAAGTAACTTGGGTGTGATTGGGACACTTGTTGGCTTTGCATTATTTCTCGTACTTTCCGAGCTCATTGAATGGTATCAAAGCGAGAGAGCTTTTCTCCTACGAAGCATTTTCAGGAAACAAACTATCGCAAAGGGCTGTGTTTCCTGTTAGTGCTTCTCAATATTTCTTGAATTCGATTGACAGCGTGTGCTCACCAAACTTTCCAAATCGCCGGCAGCTTCTATATCCTTCTCTATTATCCGCCAGTCTACTTTCAAGCGATTCGAGGAGCTGATGCCACTGGATCTGAAATTCAAACTCTTCCTTTAATCTTGGGTCTCATTAAGACTTTGGACTCTATGGATAAAGTAGACCTGCTAAAAACTTTTTACCTAGCTTTGGTACAAATTATAACGGGGATTAGTGTCGGCAAGATAGGCGTCATTAATCCATTCTTGGTCGTCGGCGGAATACTAACTACCACCTCTTGCGGATTATTGATGACTTTACAGCTAGGCACTTCCTTAAGCAAATGAAATGGTTACCAAGCTCTGGCAGTTGTTGGACTTGGACTTTGCTTTAATGTGTACATCATTGTAGTACAGAACATTATGAAGGCAGATGAGATAGCAACTGCTACGTCAATGCTTTTATGTAAGTGTTTTCTTTTCTGTTTGGGCAATGCTTGACACGATCTCCCCTCTCAATCACTTTGGATGTGATGCTTTTGTAATCCGCCTCAGAGCTTCAGATTTGAGACTCTGAGACTCTGAGACTTATCCAGAACTTTGAGGGGGCTCATTAAGCTATCCGTTTGGAGCCGAATACTAGATCGTCCACTATAAAGGGCAGTGAACACAAATTGCAATGTAGAAAGTAGTATAAGCCGGCATCCATGATACAACGCAGTCTTTCAGTCAATGGGAGGTGCTCTGATTGTCTCGGCAGCTCATTCACTTTCCCAAAATGAACTTCTCAACATATTTCCTCACATCAATCCATCAATTAGTCCTTCCGGCATATCTAGCATAGGGGCATCTCAAGCACAAACTAATTTTCCGCCAAGCGAGCTACCTGGAATTGTGGCTGCTTATATGAGATGGATCCGAATAGCAATCGCGCTCTCAATTGCCATGGCTGGAACAGCAACACTAGTCGCATTTAGTCAAGGCTGGTTTCGAATGTAGCAGGAAGTGAGTAGTGGTGATGACATTCAGCATGGTATTGAGCTGGAACAACAAAGCGAGAGCGATTCGCGGAAGATAGCCTAGAATTTATCCATTCAGATCATTTATAATAAGTTCTCGGAAGGTACTCAGATTTGATGAAATCAGCTTAAGGGGTTTGCTTGACCCGATGCTGATAGTTTTTCAACGGCTAGAGTAATGAAATTGGAGAATCAGTATTTGGATTCCAATTTAATTTAGAGTGAGGTTGCGTTTCAGATTTACAAGATATGTGAAGCAGTAGAGCGAAAATTTCTGGCATTTTACTCGTGCGAATCTGTAATCTCAATAATTCGCAAATGCTTCTGTGAGTATGCGTACTGGTGATTGTGCTCGTTCTGTGAAGCGAAACAAATGTGCACAGTGAGTTCAAGCAGGTATGACCGCAAACAGCGGATTGAGAATAGATTGCGTTGTAGCTGGAGAATTTTGAACAAACGTGACTCATGGCATGTCTCTAAAATAATCCATAATATTCTTGTAAAAAAGAGAAGGAAGAATCGAAGTGCCTGGCGGTATCCGTTGATTGGAATTTAACATACCAACTGAATAATTTGGTGAGTGCTTTGATTTCTCGATTCACCTTGTTATATCGTGGCCTGGTGATAGATGTGATAAGTCTTGAATGCCATGAGACATGATGAAATCTCAATAAATGAAATTCCTCGCAGTCTTGTGTACTACAACCGTCAAAGTCGATGTTTATCCATTACCAAGGCCTATTTGAATCAATTGGATAATGCACTAAGAATATATTTCTATCTTAATTATTAATTAAAATTCAAAAAATCAATTGATATAATTTCCTTCAAGTATTCGTGAATTTCAGTTAATATTTGTAATAATAAATAGTTTTTAATTCAATATATAATTTTAAAGAAGTTAATAAAATAAAAAGGAAAAAGATATAATTATTTAATTGAACCTTTTTTTATAAGTAGCTCAGGCAGAAATTGTCACGGATCGCACTCGATCGCAATGCGATCGCTCACGTGCGCGGACACGCACAGGCACGATCACGTGTGTATAGCTAGTATATAGGAGTGCTCTACGAGCACTTTGCTCCCAATTCTGTAGTTGTAGATTCTAAGGATAAATTGTACCCTGCTAACGCAGTTCTTCTAAGGCAAAGTGTCACAGAAATCGACTTTTAATATATTGTCCAAATCATTCAAATAGGCCTCAGTATCCACATCAAGCATAGATAAGATCCTACTGTAGATATCATAAGCGAAAGGTGCGGCGGCTAAGAAAATCAGGCTGACAACGCTCGCGATGAACGTCAGCCTAACGTTGATTGATTCATTTGACTTTCGTAAGAAGACTCATCATTTAATTTGTGGGGTTTTATTCGTAATTTGGAGTATTTAAGTACTGCTTGTTGTATTAAATGTTCAGAATATAATAGAAACGTCGGTGAAAGAATTTCCCACTGGATAGAAACGTGAGTACTAATCTCATCGAGTCACGAAAATCACTACCTACAAAGTAATGATCTCATCGTTTCCTTCATAATTTCCACAGTTCCAAACGCAAAAGTCAAACAAAACCATAAGTTAATTTCCATCATACAACAAATCGCCACCTCTTAAAATGTCGGCTTCACAAGCAGAATCACAGCTCGAAGCACTCCCCACAGAACTCAAAATACAAGTCCTTCGATGTCTCCCAAGTGTTTCCTCTCTGGAATCCCTGACCCACTCATCACCTCAATTCTACAACGCTTACCATAGCGAGGAATATGCACGACTTCTCGAACAAGTAGTAGAAAACGAACTCGGAAGCGAAGTTCTAAAAGAAGCATGGTTCGTGATCAGAGCAGCACGGCACCTACATCTGCGAACCAGTAATCGTTTCAATAACGAATTGGATGATACATCGCGAAAGGCATTATTAGAACTGTTAAGAAGTGGAAGAAATTTAGATAAAAGTGAGCTGGGTATCACACTGGAGGATATGATTTGGTTTTCAAAGAAGCTGTCCGCACTCCAAGAATTGACGATGGCATTCTTTGAAAGCACGATAGGAAAGCATCCAATTACTGGGGAACGGATCCCCTTATCAGCCCCCTCAGCAGAACCTCCTTCCAAGAGCGAGCTCTGTCGCATTCAACGCGCCATTCTCCGAATAGAGGCTTTTACCTATTTGTTTTCACTTGAAGACCATGATTCTTCAGCGTACAGACATGCTCAAGATACAAGAGGTCCATTCATGGAGCAAGGATTAAATCGTATCCACCGGCACGACTGGAGACGACGCCGACCTCTGTGCGAATTAACCAGTGAGCAGCAAGTCCTCTTCTTGGATAGATACGAGGAATGGGAAATAGAAGAAATGATTTGCGTACGAGATTGGTATCGTAGGGAATATGGTGCTCTGTATAAGCAATATCCGAAGGAATGGAAAGACGTGTGGATTTATCAAGAATGGATAGATGGAGACCCGAGCTGCGCCCTCGAGGAAGCCGCAAATAGTAAATGGCTCAGGGAAAAGGATTGGAGGGATTGGCAAAATGTGAGCGAATTGTCTATGAGCAAGGGGTTTGAGTTGTTGGCGGAAGTAAAACGCAAAGAAACTGGAAAGGAGAAAGTGAACCTTATATACAGTGCCATAGACAGTGATGGGATCTACTTCATTGACGCGGACGATTTTCTGTCGATGACATTGGAAGAATGGCAAATCTTAAGGACCAACGATGCGACGAGAGAAAACATCTCTATTGAAACTTTGCAGAAGTGCTTGGAAGAACAAACTGCATGGGAAGAGTCAGGAAGTAATGCAGCATGGTGCTGGGTGCGTAGACAATGGGAAAGGGATAACAGAAAGTGGTACCAGACAGGAGAGTGTTTGAGAAGCTGGGGTACGTAATGTGGGATGCTTGGAGATTAGATGCGCTGGGTATTCTTGGCCGTGACGTTGATGAAATTGGTATGCATGGACCAAAGAAATTTGGTGGACTGTTATTGTCGGAAAGTACGACGGAACAGGATGATGAATAGAATGCAATAAAGTAATGCCTCATTTTTGTACATGATCACGAGTAGCCAATCGACTTTCCGTGGCTAGTGAGGGTTCGAGGTGGATCAATATTTACTTGTATTGTAATACACGATATGATTCTGTTTTCATGGTTTGCATTTAGGAGCACTTACCTACAATACCAATCATTTTATTTCATTCTGGAATTCAAGTCTAACAATCACATTGGCAAACACCACACTATACATCTATTTTGTCTCACAAATCTTCAAATTATATCCAAAACCCTACCATTCAGTATGAAGAAAACGCTATCCTTTAAGAATTCGACTCTTCTCATCAACATTCGTTTAACAAGAGATACCCAAACGTATTCAAGAACATATATGTATCATTCTTAATTATCACAACTGTCTTCCCGAAGCTGAATATTTGTACCATTTCAAAGAATCAATTAGCAATATACACACATAATTCACATCAAGTTTATGCATCCAATTGAACCGCAGTATTACAAACATGACTTCGTTTTATCATTCCCAACTCGAAACTGAAGATTCAACTGAAAGGCAGTTCAAAATATTTAAACTGTCATGTATAACTTCTAGATCCAGAGGATGGTTCGATCTAGTATCGCATGCTGACCATCAGATCAAACCGGTCAACTCCTCTCCCCCGTCCCCATCCCCATGTCAAATGTTATATCAATTATCATAGAGCCCCTCCTCTTGAATCATGTTATCAGTTTCATCTGGAAGTCAAGTTTTCAATAAGAAGCTTCGATCACATGATAGTCGAACCATCTAGTATTCAATCTCTTTCCAAATTCCATCCACGACTCACCCTTCGTTCAAGAAGATCCCATAAATACTTCTTTTTCAAACCTACACTCGTAATCTATTCCATAAATAAGTTATGACGAACAGCCTATATCAAGTTCATGTCTCACAGAATGATTATGTATAATTTTCCAAATAAGGTTAATCAATTTCAAATTAGGATATACATCTCAAGATCTCAAGTTTCGGTCATTATACGAAGTATCACATTCCTGTCCCTACAAAGTATTTATGTTCTCACGTTATATTCGAATTCTAGTTCTGAAAGCTTCTTCCTCTATTGCTATCAAGTCATAGCATTATTCAGGTATTCATATTCTCAACTAGACTAGATCCCTTTCATCACTCTTTCATTTTCATTCGCCGATCCAGGAAGTACTCATCTCTACTCTGATATCTAGACATTCCAGAAAAAAGACATCTATTAAATCTCCAAGGCTTTATTGAGAGGACCAATATAATTTTATAAAGCCTAGTTCAAGGATTACTATTACGATTGAGACGAGAATAGACGAAGTAACGAAGAAGTCATAGCTATGTATAGATAGACTCCTTCTATGCTCCTAATATCAAACCGCATCTTTATTCTCAATTACTCACTTCACATTAAGAATAGAACATAACAACTATTGCGATACAAGCGAATATGCACATAAGTACACTAGCACACAAACACACAAACATATTGCATATAGCTCTCGTAGCTCTGAATCTAGAATATAGGAGACACAATATCAATCAATGCATTAAACCTATTATAAAGACGCCATAATCACCGAGGTGAAACCAACGATAATAATATCTTCTACTCTTGACTGTTATTATCTTTCTTAAATCATTGTTATTAAATATGTATATCATTACCATTACCATTATATTCGTAAAAATCTTTCCACTTCTTCTCATCACTCACTGAACAAGTGATCTCAATTTATCAATATCCCCAACTTTCAACTACAACCTGATTCTTGAATGAAAGCCGAGGAGAAAAAAAAGAACAGAAAGAAGTAATTTATACACTCATACTCGCGCTCTAAAAGAAAAACAGAAAGAGAAGATATCAAAAGTGTGAATTATGAGGAGAGATTTCTACCCTACCCACTCTCAACTTAAGATGAGAACCTACTTAACTCGTTTTTCTGCATCGTCTATTCGGAAAGCCTGGCTCTCGCATTGGGAGAGAATGCTTTCCCTCCCTTATAAAAAGAGATTTTGTCATCGGGCTAAGATTATATTGTTGAAGAAGAAATCCAACACTCTCAAAAAGTATTTCATTTCCTCCTCCTCCTCCTCCTCCTCCTCCTCATCATCATCATCATCATCATCATCATCTAACTACCTGCCATCATCTGCCGTATATATATCCCCATTATCACTACCATTAAACTATTGCTATCAATTATCAATCCCATACTCACGCTCTCTTAGTTCTGCATTTTCAATCCCTCCCCGTAAATGAAAACCCCAACTCCGAATCAAAAAACCATCGAATCATCATCCAGAAATCTTCCTCCCAAATTCAAATGCCCTGTCGGGTCTTCGATACAGTAAAACTCATTTTTGCTAAGAAGATAGATCTTAAATGCCAAAGACCTGTATTTTATACAGTGGTAAATACGCAGATAAAGCAGAACCTGTGAGAGCGTCTAAAACAAAGATGCAAGAGAGCGCGAGAATTAGAAGAGAGATTATTTTTCCACTTTCAAATTCTCCCCCTCCCAAAGTAAACTTGGAAAATGACAGTAGTCCCCCCTCAGAATACTGACTATTTCACAAGCGCTAAACATCACTTTTATATAATCCTCTGTATACCTCATTCATGTCATCCCATGCCATCCCCCTATCATCAAACACAAAAATCCTCCCCGAATCTCTAAACTCGCAAATCTTCATAGGAAACCTCGGAACCTCAGAATCTCAGGAATGATCATAAAAGTAACAATAACCATAACATCGAACAACAGAGGAGACTCAAGGACGGAGAAGTAAACAGTAGAAACAAATATATATTACTCTAGCGCAATTTCTACTTCCTTCCCAAGAGCGAGAACAATACAGCGAATAGCGAATAACAATTCTCTCATCAAAAGAGTCAAACCATAAACTATCAAAGAGCAGAATACGAAGAATGCAGAGAGAGAGAGAGAGAGAGAGAGAGAGAGAGAGAGGTTGCTAACATGTGAAAAAAAAAAGCTAAATAAACGAATTTCTCTGAACTCGAAAGGGGGAAATCATCTGCATCTCGATAAACGAACTACGTATCGTATGACATCTAGCATCCTACATACATATCCATCTCAAAATCCACAATGAGATTACGATTCCTCTCGATCTTGATCACATAGCCGAGTATAGAGAAAACACTAGCAAGTAAATACATATATGTACAAGTAATCATATATATACATTATAGAAACTACATAGTATATCCATCACTTCCTCACCTGTAGTTTCAACTTTGCATACTGTGGTCCGGGAAAGAAATAGTGCGGTAGATCTGGATGAACACATTCGTATGCATCACACGATACTCATCACCATTTCGAAGATAGAGATAGATACTGAGGATATAGAGTCAAAATCGAGAGAATCAAGAGTTTTTCTCACACTGTAAGATACTATTATAGGAAAGGTATACTACCTAAACTAGCTACCAGTAGATCGATAGACAATCCCGATATGAGATATAATTCCATACTCAAGCGCAAGATAAACAAAGCAAGACACGACAAGAAACATCCTACTGCTCGTGTGATTTCAAGAATGGCAAACCTATAGTTACAAGTAGAATTGGAATTATAATTATCATTCCGCTCATCTCAATAATCAATACCTAGGTAAAATGTAGAGATATCTCACCTAAAAAAATTAGATAGCTTTTCTCTCTTGAGAAATACAGAATCCGAGTTCTTCCCCCTCTAATTCTTCGTTTCTCACTCGGGAGATCTTCAGTGTGGGTGTATGTATGGATGTGTATTTGATTGTTTGATGAGATGAGTAGATAGATAGATAGATAGATAGTATGTACAACTTCCACCTGTATACAAGATATATCTAGCTAGATAGGCAGGCAGATAGGTGCTATTCAATCATGTGAAGATATCCCCTCCGTCCCTCCCCACGAACAAAAACGAAAAACAAAACAGAATATAGGAAATACCTACCCAAAACTCCCGCCGAACATTCCCCCCAAATCCCTCAAATCCCTCAAATCATTCCTCAATAACAAGTCTCCGAATTCCAGAATCCCCATGAGGAAATCCCATATCCCAGGACTCTGGTTCTGCCGATCATTCATCACTTCATCACCCTACCATGTCATACTATGTCTCAGAAGTTTCTCATTTCATCTTACATTCCATTCCATTGTTTTCTCGTACCATGTGTACCTATACATATATATGTACCCCGTGTTTCCAATCCATTGCATTGCATGGGTAGTATTGCATTCCTGCGATCTGAAATGTGATTGAGATGGAGATTGTGAATGAAGTTGGAGTTGGCATTGGGATTGATTTCATGAGAAATGTAATATAACACATATGGGATAATTGAGTAACAGCTAGGTAAGGTAGAAGGATGGGTATGTATTTGCTCTCTGAACCTATCTACCTAGTAGTGATATTAATCAATCCATCAATTTATGTACTTATTTGTTGAGTACTCTCCGGTTCAGATCAATTGGTTGATTGATTGCATGAATTACATGAAATGAATTGCAATCAGGGAAACAAAATAATTAATACAAGCTAAACATCTCAATCCCAATTCCTTGCATCTGTACTTATCTCACTTGTTATTCCACTTGAAAGAATCTAGACAAGAAGTGGAATAATAGATGTGTAGATGAGTAGGGTAGGACCCTTAAAATCCAATCGAGTGATTCTAAACTGTGAGTTGGCGTTTGAAATTGAGAGATATGGAGATATGATGTGATAATGGGGAGGATAATTTTGGGAGTATGGTAAGGTTAGTACACTTGCATATTCTATATACTATACCTAGTTATATCGATGTGAATATCAGATATTCGGATACTCAGTAGAATCAAAAAATGGATAGGAAAATCATAGGACACTGAGAGGAGATAAAGTTAAAGCTTCTATACATATCATTCATTACCTTCCTTACCTTACCTTATTGTCTGTACCTTACTGAGACGATACGTGAACAAATAAGCAATAAAGTATGCTTCGAATATCATATCATCTAAGACAAAGACAGAGACAAGAAAATATTAAGCATTGCACGGAATAATCTGATGACGATGCGCATCCATGGATAAGATATAGCTACCTACCTGGATACAATATAGTGTTTTCTTTTCTTTTTCTTTTCCTATCGCTATCGTCTCTGTCGTCTATCGTGCTATCCATCTATCCCTCACAGACTCGGGAGCGGAATATCGTCGATACGATGATGCGATTATCGATGATGTGATGATTGATATGATAGCGATAAAAGATACCCATCTGTGATCAGATCAGATCAGATCTGATCCGAAAGACCCCTCCTTCTAATATAATACCTAGGTAATTGATTATCTATTACCTACTAAATCAATTAATGACCTTCGCACGGTTTTTGACCCAACACACTAATACTAATACTAATACTAGGAATAAATAGAAATGCGGGAGGGATGGGTGGCGGACGGCTTGGAAAAAGTTTATCAAGTTTGTGTACAGTAAGTAGTGTTTTGGTGGGTTTGGAGGGAGGGAAGGAGGGAGGGAGGGATGTAGGATGAAGAAAGGTTTGTATGGATACACTTGAGGGATGGCTTCGTATATGGAAATTGATGGGTTAGATGAACTCAATGCGTTTGGATTGTCGTAGTCAACATGTCTAAATTTTAAGTGCTCAGGTACCTCTGTGTCTAGGTTTCCACAATCCTCACATGAACAATCATAAACATTTCTTCCCAGCCTCTCTAGATCTAACCCCTATTTCTACGGAGCCGTTCTCTCATCCTCCTGTACCTCTCTACATGGAAAGAATACTGTAATTCGTTGCCCAAGATTCCCATCCCGAGTATTGTGGAGAGATGCTTTTCCATGTCCTATCCCATCCTTGTCCGCAGTCGAATCGCAAAGATTGACGGCGCGGGCAGACAAGGCACTGGACAGGCGGGTCTTCCCTAGGGATATTTTTTTCTGGATCATCATCGACTTGTTTTCTTTCGGAGGAGAGTTACGAATGGGGAATAGGGTACATTCATTTCTTTTATCCGGTGGGCGACTGGAGGTGCTTGTTGCAATGGACTAGTAGATTAGTAGTATAGCGCCAATCTTTTACTCGAGTTTCGAATCCGAATTCGAGGGTTTGGATGTTGGTCTGGGTATCGGTCGTTCATATAGTTGTACGGTGTACAGTGTGTAATGAGATTGGGTTTGTTTGTTTTGATGTGGATTAATGTTGATGTTGATGTAAATAACAAACACGTCGACTGAATTGGGAATGAAAGTAAACAAACATTCATTCATGCGCAAATTGCTCATCTACGGACGGATGGGACTAATGAGTTTCAAACGATCTCTTTTCTTTCCGTGCAGACCTGATATTTATGGCAAGCAGAGTCGAGCATGAAAACAGACCCTCTCGGTGAAAAGTACAATAATGCTCGTGATGCGTGTCTGGAGTGTAAAATATACGTGGCACAAGAAGAAGCGCTCGAGAGATATTGGGCATTCTTTCTCTACAGCGTGTATGCATGGAGGGGGAATAGGAGTTGAATTATTGACAGCCTCTCAGATGTCATATTTTCTTAAGTTTTGATGGATCGGATGAGAGTTTATTCTTAGCATTTTTTGAGGGGGATTTCACAACAGAGTTCGGCACGTTCGACTGGGTCGGGGTTTGTGAGAAAAGTGTAATGTTGACCAGCTGTCCAGTCAAGTGTGCATTTGATCGAGGACTGCTTTGGGCTGCAGTAGTACAATTGGTCCAAGCGACTGGGTAGTAGCGATGCCCTGTGAATGCCCAGGTGGATGGATGGTGGATGGATGGTGGATGGATGGTGGATGGTGGATGGAACAAGGAAGTTCTAGTGCAGACTAGAAGAAGAAGCAGGAATTTAATTGGTGCTGATTCAATCCATTTTATGTATTGCTGCTTTAATCCTTTGAAAGACTGAAAGACGTGAAGATATACCTAGATGTGATTGATCTGTGCTTTACGCGTTTCATTGGCTAAAGTTTGTTGATAAGCCAAATAAATAAACAACACAGCCATCGGTATCGGTATGGGTATCGCCTGTGCATCTTGCATGCTGTACCATACCATACTAGAGAGGACGAACATGAACTTCATTTTGAAACTGGGTACCTATGTATGCTGTACAGCAAGCTTGAAACGACATGAAAAGTTGGAAGACTAGGAAGAATGTTGTACTGGAGGCTCAAACCCAATAGAATGGAGAGGAGGGCTGATGTGTGCCTCCTTGCTTCTTCTTGTGATGGAAATTTGTAACGGTTTATATGTTGTGCACCGGAGAACTGAGGTAGCACTGAGGTATCACCGAGGTATCAGCTTGCATTGGGGGTTGGCTATCCGGGAGACTTTCTTCCATAGTAGATAGATTGGACGAGAATGGGAAGAGCTGGTGGAGTTGAAGTGGTCAATGTTTCTTCAAGACAAGCAAGCTGGGACAAAGTAGTAACAAAGTAGTAACCAAGTAGTAACCAAGTATGACCTAGGTAGGTAAATACCAAGTGAGTGCTAGAGTAGAGTACAGTATAGTACAATGCAGTACAATACAGCACAGTACCTAGTATCTATCAACTTTGGTCCTCAACGCGTCAAGGATAAGCGAAAAAACGGGTAAAAGAAGAAAAATGAAAAAAGACGCGTTCGTGAGTAAACAACTTTTTTTTCTGCCTTGTAATATTTCCCTTCCCCCCAATAGAACTCCGCCCCCATTTTGTTTCCCCCATCGTTCAACATCAAGCCTCCATCCATACACTACTATATCATACACACCACACACACCATACGCACTATACATACCATACATCACATACATCCCATACATCCCATACCATACAATCTCACTCCTTGGTATACTAATAAATCCATGATTATAATACACACACACATTTAATTCTTTTCACTTAATTCCTCTTCACATTCAATAATTCCCTCCAGACTGAAATCTCGAAATTCAAAATTAAACGACGTTTAAAAGTCCTTCCCACTTCGAGTAATATCAACCAACGTCTTCATCCCCATCCCCATCGACATCCCTCCCCAACACAACATTGTCAATAAGAAACTGGTTTTCTATTGGAAAGAGAGAACCACAGAGAAGCAGAGTAAGAAAGATAGACAGAGAAAGAAAGAGGGACAGACAAACCTTCAAATTCGACATTTCTACACTATTACCTAGTACCCAGAACTAGTACTAGTGATACCTTTTAGGGTAGGTACTTTTGCGACAAGTCATTACCCGCCCACCCACTCATTGATTGATCTTTAAGTCAACCAACGCCAAATTCCGAAAGCCAACAGAAACATCAAAACTCGAATTCAAGTCAAGTCAAGTCAAGTACAGTACTTACGGTCTACGGTCTACGGTCCACAACCTACAGTCGTTTCCACTGTATATTCCATTTTGCGATATCTTCTTCAAAGGGGGAAAGAAAGAAGGACATTCAAATTATGACGTGAAGACTTCCTTCTCTTTTTCTATTTCAACAAACAACAGAATATATTTCAACGTCGCAACTACCTTCTATAATATACATCCTCCTTACGCTCGACTTCACCCATCGAACATACGATTTCGCTTTCATAAGATCTCTCTCCTCTCTTTTCTCACGCCACCACGATCCTCTTCCTACAACATTCCTCGCATTGTTTCTATTACCTGTACAGTCTACATTCCGATCGATCTCCAATAAACTACCCATTTTGGACAACACCTGTTGATTATTTCTCTTCTCAACTTGTAGTCTACTCTGTCGAGCACTCGAAACAACCGGCAACATAAAAGAACTCTGTATTAACTGGTCCATTTCATTCAAACCCTTTTCCTTCTAGAATCGAAAGTTTGCGACGAGACGACGCGATACCATTTCACATTAGAACGAAAAGAAAAGACATACTCACTTTCTGTAACGAATGTCGCAAGACAGATAATTTCCGAATCCAGCGCCAAAAGAAGAAGATCACTCATCTTAAATTATCAAGCCGCGACATTCCAACAAACATCATGTCGTACTCCAACAGCGGCGGAGGCACTCTCACTTTGCCATCACCCACACATGTTCACCATGTTGACGTTACCTCCGCAGTCAGATCGCTAAGACGTTCTTTATCGCGTTCTCCATCCAAATTCCGACTGGCCACTAAATCACCAAGCCCATCCCCAAAATCTCCACTGTCGCCATCTCCAGTGTCACCATCTAAGCGCGCATCTTCATACCCTGCGTTGTTCGCAGGCACAAACACACCTCATACCCCATCACCTCTCGCTGTTCCATTTCCTCCAAGCGCAAGATTGGCACTTCGATCCTCGTCGCGAGCCAAGACTGCCCCTCCTCGACAGAATACCCGCCTACGAACCTCCCCCAGAAGTCCCATGAAGCGGGCATTGAGCCAAACAATTGATACGGGTAACGCGACTCCAACACCACTGGGTTACATGGGTGGACAAGAAAATTTTGGAGGTAGCAGTCCGGCGGAGAGAAAGGCCCTAGAGAAGCTCCCTAGAATGCAATTGAACTTGGACGCAAATGCGCCGACCAACCAGGCATTATTGAGATTAGGCAGCGACGGAGCTAGCGATTGTAGCGCATCCACTTCAAGTCCACTGAAGCGCAGCGATCCCGTCATGAATCTGGAACAAGCGACCCTCGGAAGTCCAGTCGCAAAGCGCAGAAGTCTTCACGGTTCTGCCAACTTTGGTCATGATTTAAATCTCTTTGAACAGGCACCAGCACCAACTTCTCCTACCAAATTCGATATCCACAGCGATTCAAACCACGAATATGAGTTATCAGCCACAGTTCTTAGTTCGGAAAATACTGCATCTCCTTTCACGTCTACCCCTCGACGTTCCTCCTCTTTGCGCAAATCGACATTACTTCAAAGAAATGGCGAGAAGACTTCTTGGGGTAGAAGACATGCCGCTCAGCTTCTGGCTGCACAACAATCCGCACAGCAACAACCTTTTGCAATTGCGAATCAGGATATTGTTAGCCCCAGTAAGCAGAAGAATCGTCCAAGATTGTCATTGGATCAATTTGTTGCACCCCTGAACCGCGATAGTCCGTTCAGCCACCAAGGTAACCTTCCAAATGCTTCGATGCATATGATTAATCAATCGCAACAACCTACTCAACACCATACGCATCAACCTCACCCACTCTCACGAACCATGACAACTTCCTCCTCCAACTCGAGCATCGCCGAGGACTCACCTGTCCAGCATGTGCCCGTTAATTTTGGTGGTAGCCAAAAACCCAAGATTGATTTCTCAAAATCATTACCTGCTGGAGCCCTAAGACCATTCAACTTGGATGCCCCTGATGACTTCTCAACCCCAAAGAATTTTAAATCCGTCAAACCATTACCTGCTGCTTTCATGTCTACCGGTCTTATTTCAAAGGTCAACAGAAGACCCGAAGAAGTCCAGATGCTTCGTGGAAATACCAAGTCCAATGTTCCAGATACCCCATGTAAAAAGCAGAACAACATCTTCGGCACTTACCCCGCTGCAGTACCCACTAGTGCCATCGCAAAAGCTAGGCAAATCCGCCATTCGTTTGGTACCCCATCTACTCCTTTCAACCCCCATGGAGTACCGGCTATCGGTACCTTCGGAAAAGGCAGCGGCGTATTCGGAAGTGGTTTCGGCCAGCCAAGAGGTTTAACCAGACGAGGAAGCTTTTTGAGTATCGACGGAGATGATGGTGGATCCCCAGACTTCAAGACCGACAGCCAAACCAGCGACTTTGATTTACCACCAACTCCAACAAAACAAGCTTCAAGCTTCTCTCATTTCCAAAATGGTAGCCCCACAAGTCATCGATCGATTCCAGCCTCAACATCTGCCGTGGGTGGTTTTAGCTTAGGAAAGATACCAAGATCAAGCAGTAAGTTGAACCTTTCTACGAGTCCAGGCGAGCAGGAAGAGGGAGACAGTGATACATCCACGGATATGAACGAATCTCCAACACCTGTCACTGCCGGACTTTCTTTCAGTACTTCCATTTCTGTACCATCCTTTTCCAGGTCCCGAGCATTGCGGGGCCTACAATCTCCTTCGCCGCTGATGGCTAAATCTCTTACTACTTCCTTTTTGAGTCCTTCAAGAAAGCCCGGTTTTGCTAAAATTAGTCACGTGGCTCCAGCCAGTCCATTGGAGCGTGTAGATTTCCTCGAGAAATTGTCGCCTTGTACACCTCAAGACAACATGTTGTTCCCCGATCCCAGTAGCCTTTCCATCTCCAACCATAGAGATGGTCACGCTCACTTCGGTGCCAACAGCGCTCCCGTTGCTCCACCTCCAGCTACACCAACCACTGGTCGAGATTATTTCGGTAAAACTAGCACCACCCCAGTTGGTAGTTTTCCGCCCCGAGATGTGGATGAGTCCCTCGTATCACGTTTCAACAAAATCGAGTTGATCGGAACAGGAGAATTTTCTCAAGTATACAAAGTCACTCAGAGTGCGCACAAGGCTCCAACATTCATGTTTGGTGATTCGGTCGATTCCCCAATGACTGGTAGAACACCACCAACACCTACACCAGACCGTGTCTTTGCTGTCAAGAAGTCAAAACAACCATATCAAGGTTACAAGGATCGATCAAGAAAGCTCAAGGAAGTTGAGGTTATCAAGGCACTCGGTCAGGCTGACAATGTCATTCATTATGTCGATTTCTGGGAAGAGAAGAATTACTTGTACATTCAAACGGAGTATTGTGAAGAAGGTAGTCTTGATATATTCCTTTCTCAAAATGGTCGAAAGGGTAGAGTAGATGATTTCAGAATCTGGAAGATTTTACTTGAGATCGGACAGGCAAGTTAAATACTCATCGAATTTCGCCACTTTCAACTAACATTTAGTAGGGGCTCAAGCATATTCATGATTCTGGCTTCATTCATCTTGACATCAAACCCGCTAATATCATGATTACTTTTGAGGGTGTCTTGAAGATTGGAGATTTTGGCATGGCAACTTCATGGCCTGCTTCCGATGCGATTGAAGGTGAAGGAGATCGTGAATATATTGGACCCGAGATTCTCCTTGGGCAGTACGATAAGCCAGCAGATGTTTTCGCTCTTGGCATGGTCATTTTCGAAATCGCCACGAACGTATACTTGCCCGACAACGGAGTTTCTTGGCAACGTCTCAGATCCGGAGACATGAGTGAAGCTCCAAGTCTTACTTGGAGTGAAGCAAGTAGCATGCCCCGTGATGCCAATGGCATCCCCATCGTACCTAGCGATGATTCCATGGCCAGCGACGACGAACTTGAAGTCGACTTTGGTTCACCAATTGCTGCTAGCCGGAAACGATTCACTTCATCCTCCAAATCATTCGCCCATGACCCAAGCAACTTGTTTGGTTCTTCTAGACGAGGCGAACTTGAAGAAGCCCCAGAATTCATGAGAGATCCTGATCATGAATGTACACTCGATAAGCTTGTTCGATGGATGATCTCACCACGTCCTCAAGATCGACCTTTGATTCATGAAGTGCTCGAATCACCAGGTCTTCAATGGGTTAGCAATAGGCGTCGTGCTGGTGCCACTGTTTTTGAAGGAAACTGGGGACCAGCAGATGAAGTCTTAGATGATGCTGAGATGATGGACGTTTAAAATCTTTCAAGATTTTGCTGGGAGCATTCGCTGTTAACATTATCGCCCAAGTACTCGCTCAATCCTGGATAGGACTTGACGGGATTTGGATTCACATCAATTTGAATTTGATTATGTCTATACGGCGTTAGCAGGATATCAACGGCGTACCAAACGATATCTACCTCTACTTTACGACCACTACCTCTACGATTCACGATTTGCCTTCCTAGCCTTACGACCTTTACAATTCTTGTATATATTATTCTTTGACACATGAGTCACCCGCTCATTTTACACATTCACGAGACCCACAGCATCTAAAACATACAACATCAAAATCAAAAAAGAAAGATAATATTTGGTGGGATCACTGATCAAGTTATTGAACGATTATCATGTCAAGATTATTATGAAAGAAAAAAGAAGGCGATTCTTATTTACTTTTTACTTGTGTCTTTTTTTACGAGCTGATAGGCAGGCATATGGATTTGTTTACAAAGATAAATAGTATCTATTCTTGCTTGCTATAAGCTTAACCAGATTTTGGTTGCTTTGTATTAACTATGTCCCTTTCCAAAGGGGTTTACTTTGTTTTTTATCTTTTGTTTTCTACATGCCTGGGTGCTCAAATATTGGGGTACATCAGGTTAGAAATGTTTTTTGTCTTTTAACAGGGGAGTTGGAGGTATTCTATGAATTCCTAATCATACGGGAGGATGGAATGGATTGATTGATTGATTTGATGGATGGGGAATATCTGGGGTGTTTTTGTGCTAGTCTTCAAAGATGGGATCTGAACTGGCTTGGGATGGATGGATTGGGAGGAGTTTTTCATTTGTTGATTTTTCCTTTGTTTATTGGGGTGGAGGTGAGGGTGGAAGTGTAAATGAAATGGAAGTGGGAGTGGGAGATAGTGGTGTAGTGTATGGGGTGAATGGATACATGTTGTATGGTAGTGGAGAACTGTAGATATAGAGAACCCCAATCCCCTGAACACACATTGTGTGGAAGGATGAATGGATGAGCAACTTACTTGCTGAATGAATTGCTGGTTCAAATGAGGTTTCTTTTGAAAGATTTGGAGATACAATGTGATTGCTTGTCGCTTGTTGCTTGTAGCCAGCTGGTTTTGATGGATTAAGCCCTGGACTGGACTGAATTGGACTAGCGGGGAGAGAGGATGAAGGGAGGATAGGGTGTAGAGGATAGGGTGTAGAGGATAGGGTGTAGAGGATAGAGGGTAGATGATAGAGGGTAGAGGGTAGAGGGTAGAGACTAGAGAGTAGAGGGTAGGGAAGAGAATCAATGATGTTTGAGTATTATCATCTTTTAGCGGTTTATCGTGTAGTGGAATGTGATATGATGTGATGTAATATGATAGTAAACCTATTAATCAATATGAAATTAATATATAGATATTACTCTCTACACGTTCCTCTTTTCTTTTCTTTTCTTTTCTTTTTATCTCTCTCATATCTGAGTATATGTGTCAGAAGGTGGAGATGAAGATGAAGATGAAGATGAAGATGAACTATAATGGGAAATAGTAAATCAAATAGAGTGAAAGTGAGAGTGAGAGTTTTATTGAGTATATTGGGTGTTAGGTATTGGGTATTGGGTATTGGGTATTAGGTATTGGGTATTAGGTATTGGGTATTGGGTATTGGGTATTGGTTGACTGGGTGTGAATGATATTTTTAGTTCGGTTCGTTTGGGCTTTTAGGTAGAATTGGTAGGAAGTAGTGCGGGGATGGGGATGGGGATGGGTGTATTTGAGATAGTATATTTATATAGGTAGGTATTTGAAAGCGATTTTAGATATGATATTGTGCGTGTATATGTGTATATATGTGTGTATGTGTATATTATTCGTTATTTTGAATTTTGAATTCTGAATTTTGATTTTTGTGATTGGTATAGTGTAGTGCAGTATAGTGTGCTAGGAGGGGGGAGAGCGATTGAATATAGAATGGGGGATGAAGATGAAGGTGAAGATGAAGATGAAAGGGGAGATACAGGGTAGTGGATTTATGAATATTGTGGTTTATATGAGATGGATGAAATAGATGAAGTGAGGGAAGTGAGTGGTACTCAGAAATGAGCCCCGAGATTAAACAGGAGATGGAAAACTAGGCGCCTAGTTGCAGCAAATGTATTCACGTGGCAAATAAGCGATCACAGAGTTGATTCTAAGTCTTAAATGAAAAATGCTGTCGCATTCTTAATTTCTTGCATCAGATTGAATGGCTATTGTGGGATTTGAAATTTGAAATATGAAATATGAAATTTAAGGGTACGTATGTATTGGGAATTTCGAGTTTGAGGGATCAGTTTGGGGATCAATGTACGTATATGAATATGTGTGAATCTTTGAGCTACAACTTGTGAGGATTTCCAGTAAAAGAATTGGAATAGAGGGGGCGGGATAAAGGGGGGAAGGTTGATGGTGATGATGTGCTGATGATTGGATGGTTTATCTTTCCGGGGCTGTGGGGGGCTTTGATGATGTGAGGGGTAGAGTATTAGTTTAGATATTCTTCTCAATGTTTTGACTCCCAGATGGGAATGGCTGGTATTTTAGGTTTTATAGAGTCGAGTGGATGAAATATCATCCGATTTATGTTCGGAGTATGATAGTTTCGAGTACAGGTTTAGATTGAAAGATAAATCAAGAGAGTATGAAGTGCTTAGTGGATAATCTTGGAGGGTTGTGGTGCAAGAGTGTATTTTAGTGTTAAATAGTATATCTATCTGTATTAATAAGAGGATGGTAGATAGATTCCGTTGATGTCTTCATATAACGAGTTACAACTACCACCATGTACTCATAGTAGAATGGAAAATAGCAATAACAATCGAAGGCAAATATAGAGAGGTTGTCAAAAACTAATCAGACACACCCTAGATTTTTTCTATAAAATATTACATACATTAAATAGAACGACATCGATAAGCAAGTTCATTATTCCTACAGAGTCCACGAATGTGTAAGATAAGTCCTCTTGTCCCATGGTACTTCAATTCTGTTGAGTTTTGATGGATATATTTATTGAGATATGAGTAGAAAGATTGATTTCATTAGAATTTGATCGTGGATCTAAGCGAGATTTACCAGCAGGTTGTGAGGCAGTAGCAGTGATTTTGGAGTCTTTACGAAACAAATATAGCCCTAGCATTCGGTTTGTTGTGACTAGCCCCTTTGCGACTCTCAAAAACTGCTTAGCAGCCGAACCCTATAGTTCCACTTTCTGGTGCGTGAAATTCTAAGTACTGTTTCCAATCGTCTAGAAGAAGTTTTGTTCAGTTCACCAGGAATAGTTGTCTTGATTGACTTCGTTCTGATTACACAAGAGAATATTTGTGTGTTCCCTTAGGGGGTTTATCCTAAACGAGAATGTGTTACTGTCTTGAAGAGCATTGTCACCGAATTTTCTCTCCGCACATGGCGAACGTTGTAAATCCGGACCTTCTAGAAGTCGAAGACCTCGAGTTTCAACATCTTTTCGACGCTTTCTGTGGGATTGGAAAGGGAAAAATGTCACTGGAGTATCGATGGCAGGGGAATCGTGGGCTCTCACCCTCCATCCAGTTTCCTTCTGGCGCATTTCTTTCGTGCAATGAATGACAATCTTCAGTGAAGATTGTTCCCTACCTTTCATACTCCTGCCACACTACTACTGTACTCCTTAATGTCTCAATTCATCCGATGAATTGACGGGATCAGACAGTCTAGGGACCAGCACTTAGTCATTGATCTGAACGAAGGGACATCACGGGCATTGAAGATGGCAAGATCTACAAAATTTTAGCTGCCACATCGAAAGCCTAAGGCACGTATGTCTCGGTCAAGAATAGCTTTACCGCGTCATATATGTCTCGCAACAAGTGTTAGGCTTGTGAAAAGGTATATAATACCATCTTTTCCGAGGATCATCATGTTCATACAGACTCATCGCAATCGATTACAAATTCAACTTTCCAAATTATCGTTTTTTTAAAGCAGAAAATATGTAAGTTGAGAACCTATACTTCCCCTCTCTAGCAAAATCGTAACTCATAATCATCTAGTATAACCTCTTCAACTGCAATCATGAGTGGAATAAATAGTTCTGTCGTTATCAACGTCAACAATACCATGATGGGAGGATTCCTCGAATTCAAGAACGCAGAGCTAAAACAGTAATTTTCATCTTTCTTTTCACATATCCCATCTTAGGATTTCCAATATTCTGGATTGCGGTTGAATGAAAGATATTTAGTTCATGGATTCAATTGCATAGTTCTAAATATCGAGTCTCATCTCTAATCCGCGAGTTTGGAAATCCGCAATATCATTTCCCTTTCACTAACATTCATCTCACAGAGGCAAATTTCACGAAGATGGCAAGAAAGACGTTGAGATCTCCGCAGCCGACGTAAACAAGAAAGTCGCTCCGCCCCACACTGCAATCGATATTTGCGCTTCTTCCAGCTCTACCGGAAAGGTTAGTAAATCAATCCTAAACTTTGCAGCAATTGAAATTTGGCTTTGCTTCACGATCCACAAAATTGTTTCTCTCTACCTCCATAATCATTCTCCAGATTTTCATTACATTTGGAACGCCCTACTTTGTTTCACAGCCTATCTTTGTAAAGTGATACTAACTCGCTGATTCACAACCGCAGGGACTTGAGGGTAGCATTGAACTCTATGATAGGGAAACGAAGATCTGTCGATTGTCTTGGAATGATCCAGCTAGTGGAGACAATGATTTCCAAGTTCATGGTTTTGAGCTAGGCGGCCGATATCTTGTGCTTGCTGAGGGCTGGAATCGCAGTGGGGGAAGTCTGGGAAGAGTGAACGTGAAGGTTATGAAGAATGGATTTTAAATTGATCTTCTGGCTGAAAGAGAGACAGAAAGTGTCATCTGCTGTATGAAGGCATTTAAGAGCAAAACTCTACAATAAGCGGGGGCTCTCAGACATGAAGTTATTCTATTACTATGTTAAGATTGGTAAAATTGTGCAAGACTTGCGATATAATGCTTGTGATAATTATGACTAGGTAGACAAAGTCTAGAACACCAAGAATACTCCTCAGTTTCTTGCCCTATGAGACCAAATGCCTCACATAGGGTAAGGATACCCCCGGCCCTGATGACAGTAATGTTTTCCATATCATTCACTCATTTCTACTCAAGACCCAGTAGCCCCCTCTTCAAAATGATTTCCCCATCCAAAACCTTAAACGGCCAATCCATTATCCAGCGAAACTTCTCTGGCATCAATCCCCTCATACCCCTCACATCATTCTCCACAACCTCATATTTCCCTCCGCCATTAACCCACCACGTATGATCCAATCCTTTCAATAAAACCAACACTCTCGCCAGTAATGCCATTGCCAAAGGATCATGACGTTCAAGTAATACACGAAAAGCTAACTGACATCTCGCCGGCATAACTGTAACCATACGTCTCAGAATCTGCGCACTCGTACCGGAGAAAAATGCTCGATAGTGAAATAGTACTGACTCTTTCGCTTCCAGGTAGACACTTTGAATACTTTCTGATTGTGTGAAAATGAAAAACGCATTTACTAAATGATCGAGATCTTCCTCTATTCCGCTCATTTGGAGTTTTGCAATTCCAGATAGCTCATCCTGCGACAATACGCTAGGTAAACTTTCAAATTGATACGGAGCATATCCCAATCGATCCAGCAATTTTCTCTTCTGCTTGAACACCACATTCACACCCTCCAACATCCTGATTGCCTGAACCGGTACCTCATACTCTTCATCTTTTTGTTTCTGTCGCGAAAGCAACCAATAAACATGACACAATAAAATTGCCGAAAGCCAAAGCTGTTCTGAGAGTTCTTCGCCTTCTGAAAGAGCTTGTCGATGATTCACAAGTGTACGATCGAGATAACGTCTTAATGCAATGCTTAGAAGAGAATCTTGGGGTGTATGTGTATGCAGATGTAGTGCTGAGAGCGCGAGCATGGGATTGAGCACGATTTCGGAATCGAAAGAGAGCTGGGGGATGGTGTGTTGCCATGCGCGTGCTGGAGCGCCTTGGCAGGCGGGCATGAGATGACTGACTATTGTACTGTAATGGTACATTAAGCGGAGTTCTAGAGATCGCCATTGGCTTGTTGTATCTGCTAGGGTGTTTGGATAAATTTCAAGGCTAGAACTAGGTGCAGGTATAATGGGCGTTGAAAAGCGCTGCACCGCTGCTTTTTTGGACTTTTGGGAGCCCGTACTCCATTCACATTGTGAGATGTTGATATATCGTCGTCGACAATTGAAACAGACGGGCTTTATTTCATCGCACTAGAGATAATCTTAGCAACGATTGTAACACTTATTCGATTCATTACTGTACCTTCACTTTGCGAACTCTACAGTCACGACACCCCGAGTGAGATTTCCTAAGCAAAGGCACTTTGAGTTGCTGTGGAACAGGGGTATCAGCAGATTCCATCACAGTTGTGAATTGGAGTTGTGATCTATCAATTACTTCTCGAGATGCACGAGAAACCGAAGATGCGAAGATGCGAGCTTCCGATACCCAATTGACTTGGAGATGGATTGGTAAGTAGAATATTATCGATCCACTTTTGTGATATGTAAGCACTAAACGACCAGGTGTAGTTCCACACAGCCAATCATATTTGAAAGCGAACAAGCGAGTCGCTTCACGCTATACTATTTTTGGAATTAGAACACCAACTCAGGAATGGAAGGAGACTAGAGCCTAGAGGGCGTGATTTTGTCTAATTACGCAGATGTATATAAAAGGATGAAAAATATCTGTAATGTTGATGAACACCGTCACCAAACTCCATAAGCTTCTTTCAAAACCATCATTTCAAGACTTTATCTTCCAAAAACCACACACCTCAAATACAATGTCCAAAATCCTCGCAGTCTTTGGAGCCACCGGCCAACAAGGAAGTTCCATCATCCACAATATACTAAACGACGCATCCCTATCCCAACAATACACCATCCGCGGCATAACCCGCAACACCACCTCCCCCGCATCTCAAACCCTCGCCGAGAAAATCTCCATGATCCACGGCGACATCACCGATTCCCATTCGCTCCGCACAGCATTAACAAACGTGCATACCGTATTCATCATGACTCCTCCCGATTTCAGTTCCAACGCTGTAGAAATCGAATACCACAACGGTAAAACCATCGTCGATGTAGCTATCGAGATGGGAGTGCAATATATCATTTTCAGCACCTTACCTCACGTATCCGCGCTCTCCCAAGGTAAATACACCAAAGTGACCGCTTTTGATGCAAAAGCCAAGATCGAGCAATATATTCGAAGCCTTCCGATTAAAAGTTCCTTCATCTCGCTTGGTTCCTTTATGCAAAATTTTCAAGTGCAGACATTTCTTGCTCCGCGAGCGGCGGCTGATGAATCATGGGTGATATCTCGACATACCAGTTCGAAAATGCCATTTCCTCTACTCGACGCAGTAGGTGACGCAGGGAAATTCGTGGGTGCTATTCTCGCTTCGCCGGATAAGTATCAAGGGGAAACTTTCTGTGCCGCTGCGAAAATTTACACACTGGAAGAAATTATCGCTGCGTTGTCGAAATCGAGTGGAAGAACTATCGTTTATGAACAAGTCAGCGCGGAGACTTTCAAGAGCAGTATACCTTTTGCTGCGGATATGTTTGCAGAGTATTTTAGCTTCTGTGAGGAATTTGGATATTGGGGTCCAGGATCCGAGGAGAAGGTTATGTGGGCTATAGAGAATGCGCGTGGGAAATTAGCGACGTTGGAGGAGTTTTTGGAAGCGCATCCTTATCAACTTGCATGATGGAACAACCGATCAACCAATCGTCTAAGCCATATCCAATGAGTTATTCACAGGATCAGGAATAGTAACAGAAGTCATAAATCTAACGACTCATTCCAAATACTCATTGCTCTATTCGAGATGCAACAGATCACTTTAAAGTTCAAATTTCCAACTATACAAATCGTATCAATCTCTACTCAGTGATAATCCCAATTATCATCCTGATTCCTTATCCTCAACTCTCAACCCAACCCTTCAAATAAACCACAAGCTACCTAGGTATCAGCTTTCCTCTCGCATATTCCCATATTCCCATCCGCATCACACCCCTCGCCAAACATACCCCACCATTCAACCACAAAAAACAACCACCTCAAGACGTCATACACATTGTTACCAATATATTCCTAGAATCTACACATCATACGATAGTATCTTTATTTTCACTGTATTTCTTTTCTCGAGAAGAAGAAAAAAGAAAAAGATTCATCACCTGAATCTCCATTCTTTACAACTCCGGAAAAATTATCTACCTCCCTATCTACCTACTCCCCAGCACAATCAAGCAAATTATAAAATTATACATAGAAGGGAATAAAAATTCTCTATTTCCATCTCCATCTCCATCTCCATCTCATCCCTCTACACACCAAATATCAAACTCAAACCCAATACTCAAAAAATCCCTCATCTTCCATCTTCTACCTTCCACCTCTCTAATCTTTAAATCATTCCTCCCTTAAACAAATCCATTCATACCATACCATACCATACCATGTCATACTATACTATATATACTATATCCTACATACCGAATCTCTGTCCACCTATCCACCTATTCGCCTATTCACCTATTCACCTATTCGTCTATCCACCTATCCACCTATCCACACATATAATACATTCTTCTCCACCTATCCACCTATTCAACCCTCCCCCTCTTCAACCCTCCCCCTATTCAACCCTTCCCCTCTCCACCCCTCATCCTCTCCTCCTCTCCACCCCTCTAATACACTAATCCACCCAACATCTCAAAGCCCAAAATCTCAAAGCTCAAAGCCCAAAGCTCAAAGCTCCAAGTTGAAAATCACTCCCCCCCGCCTCCCCCCTTTACCCCACCTACTCCCCCAAACCCCCTCCTCACTTTATAATTCCGATGTTCCTTTAGAATCTTCGTGTTATTTAATGTTATTTGTTATTCATTATTTCATATCTTGTATCTAATATCTAACATTCTGTGTTTAACATCCCATATTTCATATCCCATATCCCATATCCAATCCTCAAAATATTCAAGTCCCCCAAAAATTCAAGTCCCCGCTCATCGATAAAGAGATACAGCATACTTGATTAACACACACTTCCTATTACACCAAGAATCATTAATACATTAATACATCCATTTATTTATTCATTAATACATCCATTTATTTATTCATCCATCAACCACTCACCACTCACCACCACCCACCACCACCCACCACCAACTTCCAACCCAAGTATCACAGCATGCACATCACCAACTAGGGAAACTGTAATTGTAATTGTAGATGTGATTGTAATTGTAATTGTATCGAATGCTATATCATATGTATGTAGGTCTTTCTATACTAGGAGATAGACATCGTGATTCCATCTACACTAGCAGATAAACGCTACCGTCCCCTTCCATTCTCACCAACTTCCATTCGCACCATCAGTCTACTCTCCTCCCTCCCCCATCCCATCCCACCCCTTCCTTTCCCTTCCCTTCCCTTCCCCTCCCTTCCCTTCGCAACACAACAAAATACAACACAACATCGTACATTCACTCCAATCCTAATCTCAAACCCAATTATTTAATTTTGATTGTATTTTCATTTACTCGCTACGTACTCTACAGTACACCCACCCACATACTTCTCCTCCCCTCCCCTTATTCCATTCCATTTCTTTCCATCCCTCCCCCCTCAAATCCCCTCACCACTTTACCAACTTCCCCTTCCCACTCCCCATCTATCAATCCATCGATCAATGACCATACCATAGCCACACAAATCATTCGTACAAATGCCTCCATCTTTCTTCCCCTATCCCTCATCCACCTTCTCTTCATCCCACACTATCCGTTCATCCCATCACAATCACAATCATAAAAGCCGTTAATTCTTCCATCCCATCCATTTCTTCTGCAAGAAAGGCCCAGCCAAAAACAAAAACCAATGCCAGGCCCTATCCCATCTATATAAATTTCATGTCACAAAGACTGAACAAACAGAAATCTATGATCATTTCATTTTCGCCCATCCCAATCAAAAAAAAATAGAAAAATGCAAACCACCCCACCCCACCTCCAAGAAAAGCACCCATTCCAACCTAACCCATCCACCCAATGCCCCTATAAAATAGTGAAAGATAAGAAAAAAATTGACGATGTGATATTTTCGCCAGTTACTATATCTTCTCATCTGTGGTGAACAGGAGAGGTTGTCGTATTCTGCTCGACAAAGGGAACTCGTTGATTAATACTTTTTAGTCGCTGTGTATCGGGAATGTTCATGATCCCGAAAGAATTCAAAGCGCTAAGTACAGGTGATTTTGTTTCATGTAATCCAACGGAAGAAATAGAAGAAGAAAAAGTCCATCCTATGCGCGTAACGCGAAGAAAGCAAATTATTGATCGCCTGTGCCTGCCATTTAAGCCCCCATGAAAAGCGCCTTCGCTTGAGTTTTTATAATCTGACTGATGATACCGCTCAATTTACAGAAGTGCAAGCAAAGTATGATAAAGAAAAGAAAAATTTGGTGGTTGATGCACCACCCGTGCTGTAATGTGGAGTCATAGACTCCTCTAATCGAATAAGTGATGAGTCCCGTCGATGACATGAACATTGTCAGGATCTTGATCAGCAGCATTTGGTTTGACTGTTGCTCGACCCTCAACTCCAATACTCCTAGCTTTTGAGCTGAGTGGAAGTGTATATTTTAGTGTTCCTCGGACGATAAGGTCAAACTCATGTTGAAGAACTCGCCCCCAGCGCTCTGATCCACGTGGCTCCGTCTGATTTCCAGGTTTTAGTATTCGCATCTCACCTATTGATACAGATGATGTAGGTTTGAATGGCGACCCTTCAAAGATCAAGGGACTCTCGAAATTATAGATGTGTCCAATTTCCAAATTCGGATTGGTGTTTGGATCATCATCCATTGGCGGATCATTGATTGGATCATCTCGTCTATGTTTGAATCCGCGTCGCCACGAAAATTTGGTTGGCGGCTGTGCCCACCACTCAGAATCCGTACCTGCATATTTGGATTTCGCAAAAATAACCATGTCCATAGAATCGATAGTGACAGCAACCAGGTTTGGATTTTGAGCCGTGACCTGTAAATCTATAATGACATCTTGTTCGCTAGCCAAGATATTTCTCAGAGCCAATACTTTCACATTTGCCAGTGGTTGAGTTGTCGCAAATAGGAATGCCACAAGACCTGCCGCGACGAGGAGAAGCAGTAGAGAAACAAACATGCATCCAGCAAACCGAGCGATGAATGAGCGGCTGTTTCGTTGGTGTTCCATGTGTCTTGACGATGGGGCATTCCCACGGCGAATGCGACTTGATCGAGTTGAACGAATGGTAGATGGAACGAGTGGTGTTCTTTCATCGTCCGCAGCATCATCCAGATCGTATCCTGAGCTGATTGGCGAGGTCTTCCTGCCGTTCACATTTCCTCCCATGGACATTCTCGCCGTATTCACCACTCTGGGACTCGTGGGTCTTGAACCTTGTCGAGTAGGGTTTGCGGAAAATTTGGACTTCGCGGCATTTGGAAAAGGTGATTCGTTATCGAAGAGAGATGCATGACCGTTTCCCCCATTTCTTCCCCAACGACTAAAATGATGGTGTGCCGTCCCTCGGCCTAAATTGCTCCGTGCTGTGCCCTTTCCGTCGTCTTCTGTTGACATTTCCTGACCTGCGCTGTTGTAAGAGTTTGCGAATTTCATACTCTTCTTCATCGCCACACTGTGATTGCTACTATCCATCATTGAGCGTAATCCGTTTCTTGCATCTATCTGACTGGCCATGGATGTAGCACTAGGAGTTCGGGAATGAAATCGACGAGGTCTCTCTTGTTCTGGTGGATTCGATTCGTACACAAAGGTCTCTTCGGAATCGGAGGAATTCGCTTCGTCGACTGCGCTCGCGACTTTCGCTTCGAAGATATCTGCCTTGGAAGAAGCTGGGCGTTGTCTGGTTAGCAAAAGGGAAGCACTGTACAAATTTAAACTGGGTCTACGAGAAGATCTCTCTGATAGCATCCGCTCGGGACTCGTCGAGTCCATACTTCCTTTACGTGGCGAGGGTCCTTGTCCACACGCCCTGTCTGGAGACCGAGCGGAATATGCACTTGAAATTGATCTTGTAGAATAATGATGAAGTAATCTGGATCTTGAAATTGATTGCTCACCCGTTCCAGAAGTTACCGATGGGGCCTTTCGACTCTTCTTCTTTTCCTTCCTCGGCCGAATGGTCTCAGTACTTTGCTTGGCCCGTAGACTTCCATTAACCAATCCTCCTGCACCCGTGGCCAGAGCAATTTGTGGGATCGAGCTAACAGTCTCCGTCTCAACTGTCATGTTCTTCGCAGAGCCTTCCCCGGATGGTTTGCCCCGCGCTGCTGCTGGTCCACTAAATGATTTAGGTGGCCCAGTTCGAGTTGCCGTGGGGGTGGTATTCTTCATCTTGTTATCCCCCTTCCCACCACTCTCACTCCCACTCTCATTTGCCACAATCGTCGGCTTCTTCAACGTCTCAACCGATGCGCCATCCATTAGATCCTGTTCTGTTGGTAAAGTTGGACTTCCCTGAGTGGTTGTGTCGATTGCGCCATCGAGTTCGAAAGATGGGGTGTTGGGTTGGCTGATCTCCTGGACGGTTTCTAACGTTGAACTACCACCGCTGACACCTCTCGCAGGTGTTCGCATCCCTGGTGTTAACAGGTTCTCTTCTGACTCGCTATCGGCAGCAGATTTTCCTTCCGCTCTTTGCTCTGCAGTGGGAGAGGTTCTTTGCACATTGATCGCGGGAATTTCTTGTTCCGTCTTTCGAGGCGATAGCAGGCTACTTTGTCTGGGAGGAGGTGATCTTATTCTCGGGGATACAGGCCAACGTGGACCATCTCTGATTTCACTCGTTACTAGCGGCTTCTGAGGTATTGGTGCTCTAATCGAAGGTTCGGATGCAACGTGATTCAGAGTAGGAAGCTTTTGAGCCGATAACCCTCGTTGGATAGCAGCCGCGGACGGTGGATGTTGACTACTCGTTGAGCGTGAAGGACTAATGTCTTGGCTATTCTTTCGTGATCTCGAAGGGGTACCTGAGCGAACGGCAGAGGGATTTCTTAGTTGAGGTCGGACTGGTGACGATTCGCGTGATCCTATTGGACTATTGGTTGCAGAAGATGCTCGGTTTGTTTGTAATCTCTTAACAGTAGGTTTAGTTGATGTATCGTAGTTCCTTCTAGATGAAGCGAAGGGTCTTGACTCTGAAGTTGGTGATGGAATGTTTGAATCTAATGGTGATGGTGAAGGAGTTTCTCGCATCTCTGCAGGTTTCTGAGTGTATGGTTTGTCGTCCATTGTCACTTACTTCTTGATTTTTTGGGAAGCCGTACGAGTACCACGTAACGAAAGGGTAAAGAGGGTAGCTTTGGGTAGGTACGACGAGTGAGAAGGTAGTGCGTTATTTTAGAGGGTACTGTACTAAGTAGCGAATGGGGAGGTACCCGAACCCAACTTTTCTTTGCCAGCAAACTTTAATGATGGAGCAATCTTATGGATGGATGGATGGATAGAGAGATGGAATTTAACGAGCCAAATGATGGATTGAGTTGAGAAAGATCATATCATCCATTCACAGGAGATTTCCTGAATACTGGCTGTATCGAATCAAATAAGAAAGTCTTATTTGATTTTGCTTTTTTTCTTTTTCTCCTTGGTTTTCTGGGAATGGTAAAGAGGGGTCGTGAGGTCGTTGAGGTCGTGATGAGTGGTGTGTTTGTTGTGTTGTCGTAAATGTTTCAATAAGGCTATGTATGTATGTGTGTACCTATGTATGTGCGTGCGCGTGTGTGTGTGTGTGTGTGTGTGTGTGTGTGTGTGAATATATGCAATCTAACTTATGTAGGAATGAATAGATGGGGATTGGACTGGACTGGATTGGATTGGATTGGATTGATTGGAAGCGTAAATGGTAAAATGTGATTTGGGGTTATTGTTAGAATTTGGCTTGTGTTCTTCGTCTGCGTCTGTGTAATGTATCCAGCCAGGTAGGATTATAAACAATATGATTTGGTAGGGCAGAGCAAGGCAGAGCAGAGCAGGGCAGAGCACGGCAGAGAGACCAGCAAGTTATTGTCTAGTTAGGATAAGATGGGAAAACACGAATCGGTAGAAGAATATTCCATCGGTGAAAGAAGGGAAAGGAAGGGAAAGATAAAAAGACTGTACGGACGGAGTGTAGGATTGATTGTTTTTCTGGTGCAAGATCCACCACATCAATCCAAGCATTCCATTCCATTCGCATTTTATTCATTCCCCTCGCCCATCTTCTTTCTTTGGACTCGCCTTCGTTCCCTGGCTCCGCTTTCTACCAAACTCTTCTCGAACTGAGATTTTGAATGGTCTATGTTAATCATGACAAGTACTCCTCCGCACCAGTGAGCAATAATGTGGATTCCAGCAACGGTTCAATTGAGCGGCACAGGGGAAATGGCCTGGCACGCTGGGAGGAAAAAGACGATACTCCATCGGACTAAGCTCAAGTAGGACTAATGGATGAGCTTTGAAGAAAAATTCAAACAATCGGAGGGCAAGAAATAAATTCCGAAATTCTAGATGTTGGTCGGCTGTGTTGTGAATGTTATACTGGATTGGTATTAAATTCCAACACACTCTGGTCATAGGTAAAGGGATTCTACGCAGGTTGGTTTGAGATGTTCAATCCATCCATCCGTCAATCAACATCTTGAAAACTTCATCACCTGGCACGGTACGATGACGATATCATGACTGACTATTATATATGAAACATAATTTAAGCTTCCTTGACAATGGTCTGCTCTTGTGCTATCTACCCTACCTATCTCGAGCCTGCCTACCTACCTTCCTATCTACTTATCTAGGTACAGAGGTATCTATCATGATTGCAGATTGCAGATTGTAGATTGCAGATTGCAGATTGCAGATGGCAGATGGCAGATGGCTTCTGTCTAGAGACTCGTCTCGTATTATTGCCAACTACATTTTGCTTTGCTCTATTTACGTTTGACTGTTTTCCTATATCCCATGTCCATATCCTCCATCTCATATCCCACATCCTACATCCTACATCCCAGATACACCACTAAAACCCTACTAGGTATATTCTAGAAGAACATTTCCTTCCCTCACCGTTTCCTCAACCCTACAACCCTACCTGACCACCAAATTCCAACCTCCATATCCCACCTTTTCCCAAAAGCCATGACTTAGCATCGCACCAAAAGCCTCGTGAGTACCTCCCTTCATCCATCTCATCTCGATGGTACCTGAAAACCGATCTTCTCCTCCTGGCCCTCCATCACACTAACCAGCATTCCCATCCCCATCGGAACCCACGGGAAATGTGATGAAGAAACATTCTTTACATGAAATTCCCCTTGTAAATCCCCTCCTCGTTTACTCTACAACCATATCATTTTCCTGCACCATCTTACTGTATCAGATATCTCTAACCACAAGGCTGCATATGACACTCCCTTCAATATCCATCCTCCTCCTCACACCCTTTTACCCAACCCGAACCTCCCTAATTAAATAATGAAATCCGGGTTTCTGTCTCCTCAAACTGTACGGTACATACACTACCTAGGTGTGAATGACGAAACAATGATGATGATGACAATACCCCCATCAAATCACAGCAGTCCGTGAAGATGATGAAAGCGGCTCCTCTCACATGTTCTCCGACCTACCTCGTACCTCCCCCGGGATCCGGAGACAAACCTCCTATAAAAATAAAAATAAAAATAAACTACCCTTCATCTGAATTTTGCGGCGTACATATCATATCGTACACACAGCCGATCGATGTCTTAACCCCAATTCCTATTCCTCTCTCTCCCATTCTTGAGTTGTTTCCATGTGTAATTGAATTGTGAATCGTGATCTGAAACATTCATGATGAAGGAGGCTGAAGTTTACTTTCCCTCCTTTCCTTACTCGAGCAAGAGCATTCTCCTCCACGTTAATTAGAGAGGTCAACTGATATAATGTACCTAGGTAGGGCGAGAGAGGAAGAAGCTTGATTTCTACATTTTTTTTCCTTGTATCTCATTGGTTCATTCATGGTGCATCCATCTACCTAGGGACTCATCCACTTTTTATGCACACATTTTATCCATTTTATGCTAGGAAGGTCTAGAAGGTCTAGATGCTTATGCTGGTGCTGATGCGAGTGCTGATGATGAGATGAATGGGAAAACAGGTTATGAAACGCGTGAAAGGCTTGGGTGGGATGGACATCGAGACTTTGTTTTAGGTAAGTCTTTTTCTTTGTGGTTTCTGATTGGGAATGCGGGATAGTTTGTGGCCTTTGAACGGGCATGGATGGGAATGGGGATGTTGGTGCGGATTTATTGACTCGGTACTCTGGTACTCTGGCACTCTGGTACTCTGAGATGTACTGTTTGCGTGGCTGACATAGTTGAGATTGGAGTACTGAATGTTTGCTGATAGATACCTAGGGAGCTGGAGGTAGGTTCCTATGTATGTACTCAGGTTCGTTCAATTGGGATTTCGATCCTTCATCTCCATCTTACCTCTATCTCACCTCTCCATCTCTTCATCTCTCCTTCTACCAAGATAATCAAATAACTAAATAATTCGGCATTTACTCGTTCCCTACACACATAAACCATACACCATAAACCATAAACCATAAACCATACACCATAAACCATAAACCATAAACCACAAACCATAAATCCCAAACCAATCACAGTCTTCTAAACGACGATATATCAATCAATCAATCCATCCCAAAGATCTCAAATATTGAATCAGCGTTCCCCTCACTCCCCTCACTCACCTCCCCTCTTGGAAATCTAATACATTGGTTTCATTCATTCTTTCTTTCTTTCTGGCATTCACCGTATCACAGCTCTACCTAGGTATTTCTACCTGTCATACTGTTTCGGTAGGTACATATATTGATTTTTATAAAATATCTAGATGGACAGGTATTGAGGGAACTTCTATAGTTTGCTGGGTAGATTGATTGGTAGATAGGTAGGTAATTAATTGAGGGGAACGATATCACTTCTAGGTTTGGGAATGAGGAAATGAAGATATACCCCCAAAAGGATCACCGTGAACGAACGAACACTTGTATAATATTATGTGAGTATGTAATTCTTGATTTTAGGTTGTATTTATTTAGGATCTGGTGTTTAGTATGAATGTAGTATTTCTATCTTGTATTAGATGTGCTCGTGTGTATATGTATATATATGTATATATCTCCCATCAACCAATCCCGATCCTCGTATTAAAAATCAGTTGGGAAGGGAGTAGTGAATGTCCAGGTGGGTGATATGATGATGATGATATGGAAGTACTTTCATACTCGAGTAAATCCAATCTAACCTGAATCCTGACTGACGGACTAGATAGATGAGAGGGAAGAAACCGAGGGTATCCATAGGCAAGGTACCTTTTTTCTTTTCCAACAGGTATTGATTTATAAGTTGGACGCTACATCTATCTACGTTGAACCCATAAAACCCGGTTCCGCGGCCGGTGCTGACTGATGCTGATATCGATACTGCTCACATCATCCATGCGTACTTCTCTATCTACCTATCTACCTACCTACCTACCTACCTACCTACATAACTACAATTCTTCATTCCCATTCCTAGACATAGAAAATCGCATGGGATGGATAGCATAGTATAGCATAGCATAGCATAGAAAACAGTAGATCCACCTCCCCCCCATAATCCAGAAACCTCCATAAACACATCCAGAACGAACACCTGACACGTATCCTCCCTTTCTCTGGTGCACCGTACACAGACAGTCACTCAGTTCAATAAAATACTTGGTAAGATGATACTAGTTGGCTCTGTCTCATAACCCCGTATGTTCATGCTTTATTTCGCATTTCGCATTTTGCATTTTGCATTTTGTTTTCGTATGGCGAGGATTTTTCTCCACACATGGTAAATTCTTAATTCTGCATGTCAACCTACCTCATTTATCTTCGCATGGATTCGGAGTCCGTGGATTGTAAGGTTACTGACTGTACCCCCACGCACATCAATGCGCACGTGGCGGGACAGCGCATCGATTGACCTTAAGGTTTGATTTTATGTTAGCGGCTGGGTGGTGGGTGCTTGGTCGTCTTACTCACGGAGGTACCTACTTCCCATGGATTATTTTTACATGTGTGGTTGTGGAGTTGCATTCGCGGCTTGGATACTTGGGGCAGGTATGCGAGTGAGTGAGGATTGCGGTGTGGATTTTTTTGAGTTGGCCAGAGTGGAAGTTTCCGCTTGGGGGAATGAGAGTTGGGGGACTCTTGAAGCGAGGGTTTGAGGGGGTTTGGTGTGGAAGGAGCGCGAGGTATGTGAGAGGGGGTTTGGGTGGAGGGGATGCATCAATCGAGTGATTGGAAGATGGAAATGGATACCTGTACTTCTTCTGTAGGGAGAATGTGGTGAGAGCTTGGTTTGTAGGGCTGAGAGGTGGAGGGAGTGGGATTTGAGTTTTGGTGGTTTGACTGGTTGGCGAGTGGTGTTTTATTGGGGGATTTCATATATATGGTATGCGTAGGTATGATTGGATATATCTATCATGTACCGTCACCGTCTGAGAGAAAATACTATGATTATCTTGGTAACGATAACACATGAAATCTTTTGAATAGTTTCGAGATTCTAGACCTCGAAAGACAGGCAAAGATCAAGATACTTAATCATGTTATCAGTGTAGCGTGATTATGCGAAGATGTTCTCACTGCTTACCTACACAATACACATACATATGTACATACACATCATTCGTTACTCATAATCATCATTGCAGATAGTCATACCATTCTCCAACGCATGTCAGATTACACGCTGTCAAATATAGCCTTGTTTTACGGAGCAACTCATCGTAATGGAGAGGAATCGCGACGATCAAGATATAATTGGTCAGTAGATTGCCAAGTTCTTTTGCATTTCATATTCATTTTGCCGGGTTTATGTTATTGGGCACTTGTGTAACTCTCCTACGTCTTGGGATTTTTGTATCCTTTTCAGTTGGAGACCGATTGGAGAGAAAGGACGGCGATGGAAATGGAATGTTCCTTTACTGCAGACATACATATATTATATACCTACTATTGCATTTGCTTTCATGGTCGAGACAAGATAAAGCGTCATGAATCCATGGTGAGTCCTCGTTCGTGATGATAGTCATCATCGTAATCTTTCAATTTATTTTGAATTTATTTCCTGTTGGAAGAGGTCAACACTACAACCATCTCGAAAATGACACCAGCAATTCTTCAATCCTCAGCTTGGCTTTTATTACTCGCCAGTTGTAATCTTGTAGCTTCTTCCACTTCTTCACATTCGCGCGATGAATCTGTGTTTGCAGAGAGCTATGATTATATCATTGTTGGTGGTGGAACGAGTGGTCTAGTTGTTGCAAATCGATTATCTGAAGATTCTACAAGTTAGTAATCTTTTCATAAGTATCATTATAGTATACAATATTAATTTGTATACAGAAACCGTCTTGGTGATTGAGCATGGTCTCATAGATAATAGCTCCCTCACTTTAATCCCCAGACTCGGTCTTCAATATTTTCCCAACAACGTAAAAAATTGGAACTATGTTTCCGCACCCGTCGAAACACTGTTAAATGCAACTTTCAACGTCTACATCGCTGATGTAGTAGGAGGCAGTTCTTTGCACAATGGTATGTTTGCTGATCGAGGATCCAAAGCAGACTACGATGCATGGGGAGCTCTCATCGGAGACGATACCTGGAGTTGGGAAGGACTATATCCCTACTTCATCAAAAGCACGACTTTTACCCCTCCATCCGAGGAGCTTAAAACACATTTCGATATCAGAAATAACGCTTTGGGATATGGGAATGGACCTATTCAGATCAGTTATCCCACTGTCATCTTCCCCGATTACAGAAACCAAACTCTAGCCGCGGAAGCATTTGGAATCGAAATATCGGATGCGCCGGAATCCGGTGATGCCATTGGTTTCTGCTGGGTTCCTCAGACTCTTGATCCGAAAACGGGGTTTCGTTCGCATTCGCGTGTCGCTTATTATGATCCCATTGCTAGTAGATCTAATCTCCAACTGATCACGGGTCACTCAGTCGAAAAGATTCTTTTCGATAGCAATCTCACTGCTACCGGTGTGAAATTCACATCTGTCCAAACAAATCAGACACATGTAGTATCAGCAAGAAAAGAAGTAATTTTAGCAGCCGGTGCGATCAACACACCCAAACTTCTACAACTCAGCGGGATAGGTCCCAGACACGCACTCGAAGCTGCGGGGGTGGAGGTTCTTCTCGACGCACCGGCTGTAGGGGCAAATTTTCAGGACCACCCGGTCACGTATCTCCGCTGGAATGTTACGAATTTGGCGTTTCCAAATGATGCGACGATTGCGATGAATGCTTCGTATAATGCGAGTGCGTGGCAGGAATATATCACAAATCACACGGTCAGTCATTCTATTCTTTGTTTGATGACTGTTTGACATATCATCACATCGTACTGAATGCACCTCAGGGACCATACACTCAAGGCACTTCTCCCGATGCAGCTTTCATTCCTCTCTCTCAACTCACATCTCAAAGCCAAGAAATCATCGACCAAGCCCGCGCTCAAAATGTATCGGAATACCTCCCATCTATCTACCTCAACAGCTCGGCACTTCTCAAAGGCTATCTAGCTCAACGCGATATCATCCTCGATCATTTCTCCCGAACCGACGCAGCAGTGATAGAAATTCCCATTGGCACCACAGGACCCGGTATGTAACTACCTCCTTTTTCCCTCTCAGAAAAAATCATAAACCCCACTAAACACAAACCTCACCACCTACTAACCCCACCCCAGGCGCCTGCGCCGTCGAAAAACCTCTCTCCCGAGGAACCATCACACTCTCCCCCTCCTCTCCCCAGTCCCAACCAATCATAAACTACCACACCTTTTCCTCCCCCACCGACTCCCTCCTCCTCACCTCCTGCATCCGCTACGTCCGCTCCTACTATTCCTCTCCCCTTCTCACCTCCTACTCTCCCACCGAAGATTTCCCCGGTCCCGCTGCTCAAACAGATGAAGAGATTCTCGCAGCGCTGATCAGCGCAGGCGCTATCGCACCGAGTTTCGCGCATCCGTCTGGGACGTGTGCGTTGGGGAAGAGAGAATTGGGAGGGTGTGTGGGAAAAGATTTGTTGGTGCATGGGGTGCGGAAGGTGAGTGTTGTGGATGCGAGTGTTATACCGATTATTCCGGCGACGCATTTGCAGTTGACGGTTTATGCGGTGGCGGAGAAGGCAGGGGATGTTATTAAGGGGAGGGTGTGATTAGAGTGGGGTTTTAGGGTGTTTGGAAGGGGAAGGGAGGGGATAGATGAGTTAGGGGAAGGTGAATTTGAGTTTTTTTTTTAGGGATCTCGAGGGGTTGGATTGGGAGTGTATACAAGGGTGGAAAGGATGCATTTGTGTGAGCTTGTAATTTGGGGTGCGAGCTATACTTCTTTCTGCAGAAGGCGATGCCGCATCTTGGTAAGTATAATCATTCAAGTAGGTATGTAAATAAAATCCACATGAGCTTGGAAGGAATGCGTTTTGCAGGGGAGTGGTCAGTCTTTAATTACATCTCGCTGTCTTCTTCACAGCGATTGTATACTCACTATATCGTAACATAGACAGATAAAATGTACTCCAAACAAGCGATGAGATATTTTTTAGTTTCGTTTTAAATCCTTTAACTGGTAAACACTTTCGAGATATAACTCCCTAAAACTCCCACATGCGAAGCAGAGGTTGAGATGGTGAGAAAGCGCTCGATGGTTTTTCAATTCGAAACTACGAGTGGAGAACATGAATGACCTGTGCAATTTCAAACTTCTCTTTTGTTTCTCGTTTCTCAGCCATATCTATTGCTTTCTCAAGTCGCTCTTGTATTTCTCCCGACGATGTACAAATGATGATTACGAAAAGAAATTCATTCCTGCAACTCTCCTTTTTCTTCGGCTGCTTCTGAAAAGGATACCTCGGTAGAGTATTTCTATATCTTCATGTGCATGCTTACTTTATCTTATAGAATTTGGTGGGCTTGATTTTTCTTCTGGTTCAGTCTGATGCCATCTATGCATACTGGTACCGTTCTGCTAAGTTCCAGTTGGAATGGAATGGATGGGAAGTGTTTCCCTTCTTTTTCTTCTTTTTTGATGAAAAAGAGGTAAATTAGGATGCTTATGGGTTCTTCTAGTCTCTTAAGCATGCAATGATATGCAGAGATTCTTTAATATTCAAGAAGTATCTTCGAAGACGATAGATATGGTGTGTTGTGATGGGATGTAAGTATTTACAAACAGGTAAATTATGTATCTTCGTTCAGAGCGTTGAGTTAAATACTGTGTTTATGGTTCGAGCTTTCATTCGTAGCAAGTGAGGACTTTGGTGGTACAAGGATATCAATGTTCTTTATTGACCCTTTTCGTGTTTAAGAAATGTTTCTGGGTTGATCTGGTATTCAGATGTTCATTGTCTCATTTACTTTTATGTATCAAGTTCTGTTCCACAGATTGCTATGAGATGAGGTCAGTTGAGTTCGGCGTCATTTCCATGCTTACTAACACCAGAAGATTCTCAATCTATGGTGCAAGTATGGTTCATCAATGCAAAAATTGGAGGAAATCAAGAAGATTTGGGGCACTTCATCTTTGTAGAGACCCATTGAGATGGAGATGGTGATTGGATCATGGGTATTTAAACGTTTGCATCTCGTGGCTTGAGGTTCCATTTGAAATTTGCTAATTTGCTCCGTGGATTTCAAGTACATCTGCTATTTTTTGAACTTAGAATTTCTCCTCAGATTCACTCCATCTAGAACACAAGAAAGATGTGTTCTTCCGTTTCTTCTGACGACGCAATGGATCTTGAACCCGATGAGAATCTCTCCACGGCAATCGTTCCTGAGCACCTAGGAAATGAAGACACTATGATAAAACTCGGTTTCATTGATGAATTGAAGAAATTATTTGCTATCAATGAGCTTCTCAATCTTCCCCAGGTGTGCATACCGTTTTGCATCTCACAATTGCCTGTTCTGACTACAGAACTTCACATTTTATTGACTGATGAAATATAGCTCGTCGTCATTGGCGACCAAAGCTCCGGAAAGAGTTCTGTTCTCCAAGCAATCACACGACTTTCTTTCCCCGTCGATGACGGTCTCTGTACACGTTTCCCTACCGAAGTTTCCCTACAACGAGCATCGGAAGACGCTCTAGGAGTCAGTATTACGAAAGCAGTTCGTGCATTAGATGCGCCAAATCAAACTTCTGCACAGAAAAAGTGGGTTGAGAAGCAATCTACACGTATCGATGAGTTTAATGGTAAATGGGGAGGCAAGGTTGCGCAAATGGACGATTTCTGTGACATAATAACAGAGGTAATGTGTCGTCTCTGATCTGAACAATTTTTGAAAAATCTGCAAAGGGAAACGAACACTAATAGAATATTAGGCGAAGAGAGTGATCATGGGAGATTCCGTCGAGCCTGGGCAGTCGGCAAAAAAGGTGAATGTTGCACAATATAAGAAGAATCTACTGAGTGATGCTACATTAAAGATTGTCAAAAAAGGTCCAGGAGAGATCAATATCACAATCATTGATATTCCAGGATTGGTTTCCTGTAAGCCCTAACAAGTTAGTTGATTTTTGACCATCTTTCTAACGCCCATTAGCAAATCACCCTGCTCATAGAATGGCCAGAGCATTAGTGGATCACTATATCACAAATCCTCGAAGCATTGTTCTGTAAGAAACGTCAAGAAAGATTTGAATGTATTACTAATCACTTACAGAGCTGTTGCCCATCCTGCAAATGTCGAAACTCAGGATATGTTCCAAATTATCAAAAACATTTCCAATTGGAAAAACAGAGTGATTGGCGTTATCACAAAATGTGACAAGATAGAACCAGAGGGCGATGATTGGGTGCGTATTTGCCTCTATCGCAATGTTGATGGTGTCAAAATACTAATATAAAGTGCCCTACAGGTATTCAGAGCAATCAAGAACGATGAAGGCGATCCAGAATTCGATAGATGTCTCAAATACGGCTGGTTTGCACTGCGCAATCTCTCTCCCTCTGAAAGAAAATCCAGCCCCAGCAAAGAAATCCAAACGATACGAGATCAGAAAGAGGAAAAATTATTCAGCCAAAAAGTCTGGACAGATCTGGAACGACAGGAGAAACTAGGCATCAGGAATCTCAAAGTTGCTTTGACAAAAATGCACAACGAACATGTCACACGCAGTATCCCTGAGCTGATTCCAGAAATCGCAGACCGTCTCAAAGGAGTCGAACAGAAAATCGAAGCACTAGGACCACCGCGAATCACACCTGAAAGCCAGCTGAATTGTCTGGTTAACCTTGCGACGAAATATTCTTTGCACGCGGGAGATGCTATCGATGGCCATAATGATCGCTTACCTGTTAACTGTCCTGAAGTGAAAATTCGTAAAATCGTCCGTGATACCCTAGACGAGTTTAGGGATGGTATGACCGCGGTTTACGATCAGCGCTTCAACGATAAAATTCTCGGATTCTCTCTTGAATCCGTTGACGAGAAAACGTGGGAACGTGCCGTGCTTCGAAACAAGTATTTTAACGAGATTAGCCGATGCATCGAAGCCAATCGCGGCAAAGAAATGGCCGATGAAGTAAACGGAGCGGTCATACGTAGTCTCTGGTCCGAACTAACACCAGTTTGGAGAGATCAAACCAAAGCACTGATTGAATCATTAGTCAACGCAATTTGGATATCGGTAGGATGTCTATTGCACGCGATTTGCGAAGAAGAATCTCTTCTAGCGAACGTCCAAAACTTGCTCGAAGAAGACAAGACCGCAGTTCGCGATGACGCCATGCACGAATTAGATAAACTTCTCAACGATGAGAAATCCGGACTGATAGTAACGCTCAACAAGTGGAATATGTATCAACTTTCCGATTTGCGCGAAGGCAGATTCAAACTCATGACTGAGAGACTGGATGATATCCAGAGACGCGATAAGGAGATTGTGAAAACGCAGGTCAAGAGCTGGTTTGGGCATAATGCGAAAATCGATGCGATATTCACGACGCATGATAAGTTGGCGAGCTATTATCAGATTGGCATGGTGAGATTTGTCGATAATGTTTGTCATCAGGTTTGTGAGAGACATCTCTTGGGGAGGAAGAGTCCGTTGAGAACTTTAGGCCCAGATATGATTACGAAGAAGTTTCAGGGGGTGAGTCTTAGTTCTGTTTACCTTTTTTTCTCGTCTAGTGTTTCTTTGTCTTTGTGTCGAAAATTGGAGTTAAGAGTTGTAACCTGTCCGAAGATGATAAGCGAGAACCTAATTAACAAGAAATCAATAGGACGAAGAAGCTTTACGGAAGATTGCAGGCGAAACTGCACATCAATTAGCGGAACGAGCTCGATTGCAAAAAGAACAGGAGTCATTGAAAAGAGCTATGGAAAAGGCGAAGCAGTATAAATTGACTCTGGGGGCACATGGGGCGGGGCTGTGATGTTTTGAGATTTTGATGGATGTAGTGGGAAGGAGTAGGCCTTTCAGTGGGAAGGTCGACCGGTGAGACAGGAGATAGGAAGGAGTTTTCAGATGATGGGATGGGATGATATTGCGAACAGGCGCAAAGGAATAGGGAGTGGTAAATCGGATGCTGCGTTCTCTAACATCCCCATAGCATAATATCCAAAGATATTGCTCTCTAAATCCTCCATCCGCTGTCTCGAATACCCCCAAAAACTAACCCTTACTTATAAATTGTACTAGCACTACTTTTTTTTACCCACTATCTCAAGCCTTCTCAACAATCAAAAAACACAACCCATCTTTTCCCCGAAAACAGCAAATTCACATTCACATTTACATGTACAATTAGAAGTTCATTCAAACCCCCGTAAAAAATCACAAAATTCGCCAGCGAGGCATGATGAGTCATTATAACTATCTCTATCTATATATCCATCTTTCCTTCTCGAAATGGTATTGTAAACCAATCCAATTCTTCTCCGTCTATACAAAAGAAATAACAAAAGAAATCAAACGAGTGTAGGTTTCGTTATTATATTTGGATTTGGATTTGGATTTGAATCGAGGTTTGGAAACGTTGGTGATGTTGTGTTTCGCATTTCTTTCTTCGCGACAAAGTAAGGACGGATAAATGGATACAGATCCTGCTATATCGGTTTAGATACCAGAAGATAGATCTAAATGCATCATTTCTCAAACATCAGTATGAGAGGTATGGAATGTATGACATTATCCATGAACGCGACGAAT